AAACTGTGGCCATGGAGTTTCCCCCCTACCTCCTTATCCTTTGAATGTCCTCTAGCTGTCCATCCCATCCAAGTAATCAGCATCCTTCAAAGAAGCACAGCCAAAGCTAAAGCCAAGTCAAACAGAGAGCGTGTCCTAATCAGGGGCATGAAGAGCCAGGCTTATGGAGCCCTCCCCCCACTGCGGGGGCCATTACTGGGCCGCCATGGGCTCAAGATTAGAGTCTCTTCCTGTGTTAGCCATTCAAATTCAGCATTAATGTTTGAAAGAGCAGAGAAAATGCCTGCTCTTCGTGGATAGATTAATATTTTATGGGGGAGAAATGTGAAAACATCCCCAGTAATATGTGAGTTGAGCTGGTGTGTCTGTGGTGGGTCTGTGTGTGTTTTTGAGACACTTGAACATCCTCATATCGCTGTCAAAATGTCACATCCTACCACAACAAGCCAAGTAGAATGAGGTTTGGGGTTTTAATTTCTGACAAATTAGCATCTTGTGTGTCAGCGTTACAGCTGCAGTTTTCCTGGTTTACATTTACAGCCTCTTTTTTTTCTTTTTTTTTCTAGTGTGCTGGAATAGTGGAGCCTCATAACACTATCTCAGTATCCGTCAAAAGACAGACGTAGAGTTGATTTATGATCTTGAAAGACTGGCCTATGTGTGTTTTCAGAAATAGGAGCTGCTTGTTTCAGGGACAGTGCTCTCACTGACTGCCTGCCTGTCTGTCAGTGTGCACAGTAAATAGGTCAGTGTTTTATGTGAGTGAAGAATCAGTGATGTCTGGGCCTCCATGAATCTGCCATCTTTAGCCGTCTGACCGCCCGGCAGCCGGCATGTCAGGTGATTAGCCAAATAGCCACACAGCGGCGAGGACCAGAGTGAGAGATTTGTTAAATATAAAACCACTCAGTTCCTTGTGGTTTTATATTTTTCAGCTGGTGGCGCGGATTCTCGCTGTTGCCTGATATAGAAATGACAAGAGACGCTGAAGAGTTTTTTTTCGTTCAGCCACACTGCTCTCCAACGGCTAAAACTATCATATTTATGAGCATGCGCTTTACCTGCACTGCTTTATGTAAGTGTATTCTGTCCCAAGGAGGACGTGAGAATCGATGAAGTGAAGGAGTACAGTGTGAAACACCCAAGAAAGCTCGAGAAAATATCCATTTCATTTTCAAAGGATTCAAAACCTCCTGACACCTCGTCATTATTTGATGTTGCAGCCATTGATTTCTCTCCCACTGTATCTGCTGACCAGATAGTGACCTGATTGATTAGATCCCAGCTACTGTTGTCAGGTCTTGCTTGTGCCATGTGCACATGTCGGTGAAGCCACTTCTCTGCATGACTACTAAAAAGCTGAAAGCTGCATGACAAACTGTAGCTGGCAACAATGTGTTCCCAAGATTATGTTAATGGATTAACAGAGGCATCAGTCACAGCTGCATTAGTCTGTAGACAATGGACTCCAGACAAGGTGGATATATGTAGGGGATTATGCACAGCATTTGAATGCTTTTTTAATGCTGTCGAAAAGCTGGAGGAGTTACAGTGATTGTCTTTCTCTCAGTGAATAATCTGATATGATTTCTGGGGATATGAATGTATTTTTTTATTTGTTAAAGACAAAAAAAAAAAAAAAAAATGTTGCAAAGTTCACATAGTTTTGAAGCTAAGATGAGCTGTGAGCTACCTTGTATCAGCTAATAAAGACTCAGTTGGTTTCATTGCTATTTTCGGGAACATGTAGCCTCAGTCCACACCTTGCATTTTAAATCAACCCTTTAAAAAGCATTTTAAAGCCATCCCTTTCCAGCATGAAAATTGAAAGCTCAACTCTTGCTCTAAAGGTCAACATTTCCTGACTTAGCCCTTGTGGCGCTCTATTATATCCTAAACTATATCCTTTAACTAAATTTGGGTTCATTTTGAGTTCCCACTATGTCTTCTATACACTTATTGTTATGTTGTTATGATAGCCATGTTGTCAGCAGCTCCCCGTTGCTTCAGCTTGTCAACATTGTGACATTCCTCTGCAAACAGCACAGTTCTACCAGGTTTTGTTGTCGCTGACACGCCTAACCTCCAACCTAAGAGAACCTGTTTGCTGCAGTTGTCTGGTCTCTCACCTGGAACTCACCCAGCACGGTAGAAACTGCCAGGAGGCTCACCCCCACCACCAGTATATATCCCATGAGAGCCTGGAAATACACCAGGAAACAATCTTAAAAATGTATCAGTACATTAAGACCATGAAGTGTTTGTCTGTAACTGTCTGGTTTCACAAACATAGTGCGTGCCCTCCAGCCAAGATGGATCAACAAGTAACTTTTATTAGTATAGTTTACCAATCTGACAGGAGTGAGTCACCTTTTACATAAATCTGTCTTGGGGAGGATTAAATCAGCAGTTTCTCATGAGTGCAACTGATGTAATCTTTGTATCTTTATTTATATCATGTGCCACTCTTTGGCTTTTTCAGTGTGTAACTTGTGTCCACCATTTGCTGCATCTTGACTTAGATAAGACATTAAAATTCATCTACAGCAAGCTCTGGTACTGAAGGCCAGCACTGTATGGGCTGCTATCGAACAAATACTTTCCCACAGTGATTATAGAAAAGTGCATCTGGCTGAAAAGACCTCAGTGCATTTTGCAAGTGTTAAATTCTGTTGCTAAGTGAAACAAAGATCTTCTTATTCTCATCATACGAGAGCAGAGGGGAACAACAACACTGTACAATTAATAGTATTTTCATCTTAGACCAATGTTTGACTTTCACATGATAAGGATTGTCAAATATTCTGTAGTCTGGTTTATATTAATATAACGTTAAAAATAGTCTCATTACTCATCAATTCATATTGGTAATATTATCAAAGGGAAGAAAGATGAGACAGTGTTCGGCTGTTTTGGAGATGGGGTCGAAATATGATGACTTAATCAAATTCAATGTGTACATATATGTGTAGTTATCATAAGGAAAACACAGAATGTGAAGGTGAAATTAGTATGACAGTACGATAGTGATCAAAATATTCCTGAGTTAATAAATCAGTTTTTGTTGGACATCAAGAGTCATAAAGTTGTAAAGACAATGAATCCGTTCTGAGAATCTCTAAGTGTTGGTTCTGCTCATACAGGTTCATGAGGAAATTACACAGTACCGCCAAACATGTTGCACAAAAGGACAAGCATCTTCCTCAAGATTTGAGGCAGCGGAAGGGAAAGCACAGAGCTCTTGTGTAATAATGCTGTTACTGTGGACATATCTGATTAAATCATGGCTTCTTATCATGTTACATCTTCCTTCCTAATCTAATTCCTTCATTCAAAACCAGTTCTTTTGGGAAGTTCACAAAGAGTAGGGTGTAACCAACCAGATTTTGCGTTGTGCTGGCGATGGTTATGTAAAATCGTAAAGGCCACTGGGAAGGCACATGTGTAATTTGTCAGAGGCAGTGTGCACTGTGTAAGAGCCGAGTAAGGCTCTTTGTTTGCTAATGTAGGTCTACACTAAGGGGGCGGCCTGGATGGCCCGCTTTCTGGGACGGTCGTGCTGCACATCACATGATGGGCTTGGCCTCGGGGTGAGGCAGTGAAGGAGTCTAAAATGTTAGTCGGATGGGGAGATAGAAGATGAGAGGATGAGTGATGGGAACGTTTAGTCTTGCCAGTTTCTTTTAGAATCAGCTCCTGGTTACTGTTTTCGCAGCTGAACAGATCCACTGGACATCAGACGCCACCTCCACCATTTCAAATAGCCTCCATTCAAATAGCAAGAGGAAACACGATTCTTGTAGAGAGTCCTTTTTAAACATCAAAATGATAATTTCAGGAGTTAAATCTGAATAATAGAGTCTAAATCTGAATAATATCTGAATCTGCAATGCAAAATAACAGATGTGTTAGCAGAGATCTATAAATATACACAATTTCATGAGACTTTTTCAGACCTGCAGTCAGTGTCGCTCTAACAGGATTCCTCATGTGAAAATGGGCCAAAGCTCTGAAAATACAGAACTTTGAGACTGTAACGAGGAGTCTTCTGTAAGAGTTTTATCCGTCTGAATGCAGCGATCAAGTTTTGATTTGTCTCTGGCGCATTGATCCTTCTCCGGTTCTTCTGCTCCAGAAACCAGCCACAGAGAAAAGACATTCACCTCATTCTCTGCCCACATTTATCAGTAGTGAATGCCACACTTTTAGCAGATTTTAAAGTCAAAAACAATCAAAAAACAAAAACAAAAAAAGGTTTTTTTTAAGCTGTTTTTCTCTGTATTATATCACTGTGGATTTAATATCTCTGAGTTTTGGACTGTTGGTCAGGGAAAACAAGCAATTTCAAAACATTACATTGGGCATTGGGAAATTCTGATGGCCAATTTCACACTATTTTCCAACCTTTTATAGATAATCTCAGAGTTATAGAATATGCATTTTACTTGCAGCTGTCCTTGATGTTGACAAAAACATTTTAAAAACTAGAATTGTACTCAGCGGAGTGCATACCCTCACCAAGGCCAAACATTTTTTCTCCACCAGATCCGGATTAGTATCTGGGTGTGCACCAAATCACACAAAGTCATTGATCTCAACATCATAAATATGTCAGTGACCTTTAATCGGATCAGCACCAAAATATAATGGCCCGTACCCCAACCCTCCAACAAGTTTGGAGCAAATTGGTTCAGTACTTTTTGTGTAGTCCTTCTTAGAAACAAACAAACAGACAGACATGGGTGACCACTTAACCTCCTTGGCACAGCTCAAAATCAAGCAGAAAAAAAAAAAACACGAACAAACATGTATTTCTCAGTTAGGTCCCTTGATATCATTGTATTTTGTACACTTAAGTACCTGTCAGACTTCAAGGTTGTATGTGTGTTTGGTTCATCCAGAGGGATTTTGTAACCTTGCTCATGTGTCACTGTTCCTGCTGATCCAAAATCAGACTCTTTAACACTGGACTTCTCCATCTCTCTCGTTCTCTCCCACAGGACATTGTGAGTGCCACTAAAGATGTCTGATAGTGTCGATATTGAAGAGAAACCACCAGCCCCCCCCTTGAGAATGAACAGTAGTTCCCGAGACTCTTCATCAGTGAATCACGCCTCTAAACCACTTCCAATGGCTCCTGAAGAGAAAAACAAGAAGGTCCGCCTGCGCTCCATCTTCCCCGGGGGAGACAAGAGTGAGTGTCCGTCTCCATGTCACTTTTTACGCTCGGATTTACTCACGTGTAATTTACAAGTTTACTTTCTGTATAAATATTCAGCCTGTAATCAGGTTTTATTTGTCTCTTGTAGCAAACAAGAAGAAGGAGAAGGAACGTCCTGAGATATCCCTACCCTCAGACTTTGAACATACCATTCATGTTGGCTTTGATGCTGTAACAGGAGAATTCACGGTGAGTTTCCCTTTCACCTGACAATCAGGCGTATAAACAGGGACTGATGTGCTTCTAAAATTCTCCTCCAAAGGCAGAAGCCCAGGCACACACTAAAATCGCAATTCCCTGAGGTGATGGAGTCAAATAATAATATATTTCCCAGCACATAAGGTTGGTAATACATGTGACTTGAATGACAATCACTCTCTCCTATCAATTGAAACCTGCGCTGGAAGCCTTCAGCATTTCTTGGTAAATTACATTTTAGCTGCAGTTTCACTTTTCAGCAGATGTTTTATTCTTGCCAGAGCCTGGATAACGACACCATGACACAGTATTTCCTTATTCTTTTATTTCCTCCGTTTGATGTTCTTCACATTAAATTGATCTAGTCTTTTTTGTTTCAGCAATTCATAGAGAAGGTCTTAAAGTGTTTAAACTTTATTTTTTTATGCTTTATAGCATCTCAAACCACCACGCACTCTAACCAGATATGCTCTAGTATATTAGGAAGAAATAAAACCTCAATATCTGTTTGACACAAGAGGATCAATGCGATAGCCCCCATGCAAAATTTAAGAAACTTTTAATGTTTAATGTTTTTAATTTGAGGCCCCAGTCAGTGGTGATGGGTCATTGTACTGTAGTACATACAGTTTATCTTTATACAGTATAAAGATACATTGCACTGTAGGGGGGTTGTTGCAGTATAGGTGCATTATATTGTACAAGTGTTCATGATATTGTTTTCCTTACCCTTGAGATCATCTGTAATGAGAAAAGCATTAACATAATAATAAATACGAAATAGGAAAATAATAAGGGAGAACATGAATCTGAAATGGATTCACAATAGCACAGGACTAATCTGTAACACAAAAGTCTAGTTTTCTTTGTTTAGGCAGACAGTCGCAAATATTTATTATTTCATATAGAAATAACATGCGGGTACTTTAAGACTTATCATCATCACCCTTTAAAACCACCTTTACATTGAAGAATATGTAGTCTAACCTATTTGACTTCCAAATGTACAGCTCTCAGTCCGTGACATCAGTGACACATAGTTCCTTGTTCATTTGATTAGCTGAGCACCTGTGACACATAGAGTTTAAAACAAGACCTCTCTGTATATCGCTCTCGATTTGCTCCGTGATCCCACTCAAAGTATCATCTTTTTCTGAGCCCCTAATGCCGCTGCTTCTGCACAACAGTGGACTTACTTTGTCAGCACCTGACTTACCTTTGTCTGGTAAAAAAAAAATAAAAATATGCACAAGTTTAGAAAGATGATATGAATGAAAGACTGCTCCAGTTTCTTGCTGTGACTGACAGACTGTTAACAACCCCACATTCTTTCCTCAAGACAAAACTTGCACATCGTGGCTTAAATGTTACATTTCACTCAAGAACTAATATTTGATTTCTTTTTTAATCGCACAGGGTATCCCAGAGCAGTGGGCGCGGCTCCTACAGACCTCGAACATCACCAAGCTGGAGCAGAAGAAGAACCCACAGGCCGTGTTGGACGTCTTAAAGTTCTACGACTCCAAAGAGACCGTCAACAACCAGAAATACATGAGCTTCACCTCTGGAGGTGAGCAACACCAAAATACTGACACTATAAAATAAATGTTACCAATAAAAAAAAAAAAAAAAAGACAAAAACATTTCATATTTATTTCAATTTCTAACACCAAAGATATGCTGTCTCTATAATAAAGTCTTCTATCTTGTTACAGACAAGTCGGCACATGGCTACATAGCAGCAAACACTTTGGTGAGTTGTTTTATACCTTAAGTTATTTTTGCTTGTGCTGGTTTATTTTCTTAGGCTAAATAATATATATTAAGTGATTTTTAAGAATATTTTTTTAATGAAAAATATTACCATAAATGATAATCTGACAGAATATCGGCCAGTTAATAGGATCCAACTACTTTTTAATGCTCAATTTTAAAATAATTGTGATGTTGTTAATTAAAAATGTGCCTTTTTATTAGAGGTGGCTCCTCTGCCTGTTTTATGTGGAGTTTTATTGCTGCACTGTGTATCATGTCCTCTCTAGACTGTCTGGTTATTATAGGCAAAAAAAATTACAATTACAAATCAACCCAGTCTTTGGTTCTTAGCCATGCACCATTACTGCCATATTTCATTGCTTTGGAAAATCTCTCTAAGTAATACATGGAGGGATTTTTTTTTTTTTTATGATTTATATAACTGTAATAATTTAACAGGTAAGTTGCAACATTATGTGGCTTCATTTCATCGTCTTGAACCTCAGAGGAATTATACCTCTCCTGCACTACACCACAGTAAATCTTCACTTTACTCTCACTAACTCTGTGTGGGAATTCCTGGGATGGACTGTGTTACTCTCTAATGGGAAAAATGTTTGTGTTCCCCTCTGGAGGCTCACTGCTCCGACTATGCAGCACAATGCCCTGAATTTTGCGTAAAATGCCACTCAGTTCTGCAGCTCGTGCACGGAAACGGTGACTGCTGCGTGAGCTGCTGCTGCCCTGCTCATTGTTTATTTTTCCAATCTACTTAACCAGATTTTGAAATACCCATAGACAGGCTTCACTGGAGGCTCAACTGCATCTAGAAGGACTCCCGCTGTGCTGACCTCATTCCTGGCTTTGACCAGAGTAATCTATGCTTTGAATGCCTTGGCCTGTACACGCTCAGCCGGGTGAAGAAGTGGAATCCAAGTCTGTTCAGTGGGATTCGCTGCCCCAGGCGAACTACACTGGGATCACTTCATGCAGGGCTATTGCTTGAAAAGAGCTCTTTGCCAGTGAAGGGCAAGCGGGTGTGGCAGTGAGTCTAAAAGGTTGTGCGAGCTCACTGAGGGTATTTGAGAGCGTCTCGGCCTTGGACTGTCACAGTGGTCCACGGCTGCAGAGATGACTCAGCTACCGGCTACCGCGCCACAGATTCTCTCCTATGGCTGGACCACACTGTCTGAGATGAGCAGAGCTACAGGAGAGGTGCCAATCACTGGTCTATAGAGGCAAACAGTTCCATAAGAAACCTGATGCTCTCTGTCCAAATTTTCTGAACACCAGCTTCTGCTAACCTGCAATACAGGTAAATGTTTGAGATCTGGTGTGTTATTTACTGTAAGCAAATCACATTCACTTCTGCACTTATCACCTGCCACAGTCCACGTCTATCCTGCAGCTATCTTGTCTTGTGATTGAGGATTCAGAAAAATAACGGTTTCCCATAATGCATTAGGACGATGGGAAAAAACTGCTGGCCCTATTGTGAAATCTCTGGTTTTCATTTAACATCTTTGAGCATCCATTTAAGCCAGTTGTTCATGTTTCAGGTCGACCAAGTGCCTCACCTTGACCTAAGTGCTCAGCGTGCACTTAGAGAAACTGTCACGTCCTAATCCAACCAATTAAAAAGTCATAATTGAATTTTAGATTCAGGGATTGCGGTAAGGAAATCTAAACTTTACTTCCTGTGCCTGATGTCCTCTCTGACGTGCTAAATCTTGCACTCGCACACGCTTTAAGTGATTGTGTTTGTCACACCACAGCAGTCATATGTCAACCAACAAAGACGGCTCGACCACATAACTACATTCACAGCATTGACAGTTTGTTTGTCAGAGTGTGACGTGTACCTCAGGTTGCACTCGACATTTCTCCCATGTGTTGCTGAAATTACTGCTTCACAAAAACCTTAGACTCTAGTGTGGTTGGTGCATGGAAGCCACAATGTTGGGAAATGTCTCCCACGTTTGGTTAGGCTCACACAATACATGTGTGCCTTAAGTAAACTTAAACGTAAATCTGTAACTTCCTGTAACTTCATTTATGGTCATTTTAAAGTCTTTAAGGTAAAAAGCTTGAAAATGGTTTGATGTTCAGTAGTAAAAAGCAACTGTAAGGACATGTTTAAGCTAGTAAAAGTTGCCACGCAAGCTGTAATGCTTCTTTGTTCATATTTGTTTTATTGTATAATGGAAAACAGCATGAATCCATCCAGATCAATGAAAGCAGCCACTTCATTTTCCATCAGTGTTATAAAGCCAGTCTGTGGCTGCTCCCTTTTCTCAACGGTGAAACCATTTCCCTGTTATGCTGAAGAATCTAAAACAAATACAAACACAACCACAGCAAACACTGGCATCCTGCATTGATAATGAGGCAAAACATAGTAATGCAAAGTAACACTGATTGAGTCAAACTTAGTGATGTAAAGTTTTATTTATAGTGATTTATAAGTTTGGGCCAAAAGGTGCTTTTCACAAAGCAACACTGACAAATACAGTAGCAAAGACTAATCCTGTGTATGTGCGTGTGCTTATGTGTGTGCTGTCACAACACTGGACAATAATTGAGGTGTAATCTGATCATTTTGGTTTTGTAATAACTAATGGATTGCATCTTTAGCATGTGATGAGGAAATTAGAAACCAGGTACAGACATGAGATTGTCACTACTGAAGCGTCCAAGTCAAAGGTGACTAAAACAACATTTAAAGTGGAGAGGGAAACATGTTCTGGCCCTGTGCGAGGACAGTCCTCAGGTGGCATGATTTGTCTCTATCATGTCCTCTCCTCATGCTGTGTGTTAGGAGGACAACTTGTGGACTTAATGTCCATCCCTCAGTAGCGGACCCCTGCCCTCCCCCTCCCCCCTCCTCCTCCTCCCCCTGAAGTCCACTTACTCTTAAACATTGTGTGGGTTTGTTTTGAGTAAATCCTCCCATTTTCAACCTTCACATTCAGAACCGACTGCTGTCATCTGGGCCTCCTGTCAGCCTTAGAACCTGCAGCGCATTATTTGACAAGGTAACTCCTCCATATTACTTCTCCACATGATGTATCTCTGCATTGGCTTTGAAGCTAAATTCCACTATTTGATCTCCTAATTTTGATTATGCCAACTGGCTAATGCAAAATGCATACAAATACTTGATTTTAGAGGCATCATCACTCTCTGTATTGAAATTTCTTGGGGGGTATGATTGGATCTATTAGTTTAAACTGTATTTATTATCTTCCACAAGAGCACCTCTTATCTTCTTTTTTTTTTTTTGAATGGACCGTGTCTGAAATGGCAGGGCAGGGGCGCATGCCACAGAGGGTTGTGATGACTGTCGAAACTGCATGTATGAGCTCATATTCCTTACTATTTGATCCACATTGCCAATAATGTGCCTGTAACTTCATCACCATTGTAGACATTAGCGCATGGCTCTGTTAAAAAAAAAAAGAAAAAAAAAAAAGAAACACATGGCACTGCTTACAGTCAGCCAGACACTCATTTCTGCACTGCAGTCCTGGCTCAGCCCTCCTTGCAGCAGGTCAGAGGCCCAGTATGTCTGAATGAAGGACTGGGACTTTCCTTCAGCCAGACCCTTCCCCTTTAATCACTAGAGCTAAGCTGCACTGATTCATTTATGCATGACGACACTAGAAATGGATGAAATGTTTCCATTCCATAAGAGGAAGATGATCCAAGGCTAGCAGAGTTTTGGATGGGGGGAATAAAGGCTGAGCATTAGGCATAATAAATATGCCTCAGGCATATTAATCATGCTTGTTAAAAGGTATCTCCCACATCAAGAGGATGTCTACACTTCATCACCATATTGCACATTACTGCAGTGTTGCAGCATGTTTTCTCCTGTAGCACAGTTAAATATAGAAAAGTTTGTTCCTATGTAAAAAATCATTCTCATCACTGGTTCATGGCCACCTGACCCGACCCTTCAACTCAAAAGCCCTCAGATAAACTGCACTAAATGGCACCTCACTCTTTTTGCGCTTGTCTCTTTAGCTCTCACTTGACTCATATTGCTTTCCTCCACTATTAACAGAACTTAACCTGACTCATTCTTGGTTTTTTGCACAAAATGTCAGATGCACTGTTGCAGCGCAGAGTATCACGACAGATTAACTGTATGTTGTTTATGTTGATCACATGTGCTCCTTTTTCTGGCTACATGTTAATGAATACGATGCATTTTTCATCTACAATAATCTGAATCTGTTATCACTGTGTGATTGACACGATTTAAAAATTAACTCAGCATCACTGGAGCCTGTATGACAGACGAAGTCCTGTTTAACTTCAACTGGCCAGAACTCAAACTCTGTACCTGGGCTGGTTTGGGGGTTTGCAGGCTCTTTACTGTGGTGACAATTCATCACAGAGAAAAGAATAATTTTGTTAATAATTTGGGAAAAATTAGAAGATCTGCATCTTCTCTTTTTCACTCCATGCTGCTACGTGGCACATGCATCCACACTTACTCACATCTCTACCCTCCAGGGTGCCAAAACGTCATCGTCAGAGCCCCCGATTGCTCCACCTGTGTCAGAGGAGGAGGATGAGGAGGAAGAGGAGGAGGAGGAGGAGGAGGAAGAGGAGGATGATGACGACGAATTGCCCCCGGTCATCGCGCCTCGGCCCGAGCACACCAAATCTGTGAGTATATATGGTACGACTGGTGAAATCATTCTGCTGCGAGTACATTGGCCCCGTCTACATTTTTTGTGACTCTTTCCTCCTCTTGCAGATCTACACGCGCTCTGTCATGGACCCACCAAAGCCCCCCACCCCTGTGAAAGAAGTTTTGACTCCACCGGAGTCGCAGGTGCAGCCAGAGAACACATCCAACACAATGTATCGCCACACTGACCGCCAGAGGAAGAAGTCCAAAATGACAGATGAGGAGATTCTGGAGAGACTCAGTATGTGTCTTTAGAGCTCAGTATGTGTTTGTATGTTTATCAGGACAGAGTTATAGGAACTTAGAGTCCAAATTAGATTTTATTCATTAAGGGTTAGTTATATGATTATTTCAGTATGATTTCAAATCTTTCTCCACACAGCCAGCAGCAATGGTTGTACAGAAATCCTAAATCTCTTGATTTTTTGTTTATCCAATTTAAAGATATTACGTCGAAAAATGATCGCAATCATCCAAATATTGTAGAATGAAAACTCCTCCCCAAGGTTAAAATCCACACGTGTCCAAAAACAACACCGAGGACATGACCTCATTGTCCCTGATGTGTATCTGTGTGTGCTTGTCGATTTGTGGTTGTGTGCGCAGCTGTATCGAATAATTCACTGTGTGGTAATTCAGAAGACGGGCTGGATATCTGGTTTCCAGTTGAGGTTTTACACATATTACATTGCACAAATTCTGTGCATTTAGAGGAATTGTTATTATAAACAAAAACAGGGGCAAAGAAGTTTTTATCATTAGTTGTGGCCTTCATCCTGACACTCCTCTCCCTGCAATGCAACTTCAGCCCAAATTAAAGTGCAGATCCATGTACTTGGAGTAGCTGCACTACGAGGCAGGGCATGTCTGAAATAGAAAGGCAGAAAAGGCTCTGCGGTGTTGTCTTCTGTATATTTGCGTGTTTGTGTGAAGGCTGTCATGACGGTGTGCGCCCACACAAGCTCAAACATTATATATCTGTTTTCTCTCTGACTCAGGGAGTATTGTGAGCGTGGGGGATCCCAAAAAGAAGTACACGCGCTTCGAGAAAATAGGACAAGGGTAAGTCCGTCCGTGATCATCAACCAGTCGTCACAGTGATTGAAATGGAGCAATTTCAGGAGCAGTCAGTCTCACCGGGAGAGATGGAGCTATGGTGACCACTTCAGAGAGGCAGAGGGAGGGTTAGGTTGAATGACTGGGAGAAAAATAAGTAGAGAGGAAATGAGAACTGTATCCTGAAATGGCCATGGGCCAGATTAGCTCAGCCAGCTCTTTCTCTCCCCCTGCTTGTCTTTCTGTTTTTTAAGGCCCTCTCTCCCTGTTCACTACACATCTGCACAGATAAAAAAAACTCTGTGGTTCTTATCTGTTTTAACGTGCTCACTCTTTCCACATTTGATCAGGAAGCTCTTATCTTAAACAATAGATAACTGTCTATTTACTCTCCACCAGGTTATCTTTAACTTATTAGTACCAGGAACTGTGCTTCATTATTCATAGCCTCTGAAGGTACACAGGTGCAGCTTACAGCAAGACAAACAGAGAAAGTGGAAAGACTAGAGGCCTAGGTGAAGGTTTTCACTATCATGAGTTTCACTTCCAAATAAGGTCAGAATGGCTGCATACCATTCCTTTGACCAACTATTGGAAACCATACACTCCTTGTGCATTCAGTATAAGTGCTCATCACTGCTAAGGTAATCCAATCTAAGTTTCCATATTGCACACATACAGTTAGCTGAGCGTCTGGCGTCAAGTGTAGACTGTTTTACACTGTGGCGTCTCTGTGCTAATTTATTATTTCATGACATCATTAGCACTTCATTTTAGCGAGTGATATTTTAATATCAAAGGAATAAAGGCGTTTAGCCACCACGCTAACTCGTCCACTCAGTCTGACTGCCCTATCCCAGCAGAGTTCCTGTTTTCTAATTAAGTTAAATCAAGTTATAATAACCAGAGTACGTCTGTGGCCTGAATATTAACTAGTAAATCTGATGTATTCGATGTAAAATTGTTCTTGCATTTAAATAAAATTACTCTTTCTCTATATTAATCTGCAGAATATAGAAATTTAAGTGGCTCATACTGTCTTTCTGAGCCCAGTTAGCACTGCTCCTGTAGAAGCAGCAGGAAATGATGATCACTTTAATTTTGTTGATGTATATGCTGTAAGTCTCTTGAAACTTTGCATCAAATTACTCAATTTTCCTCACGCATTACAGGCAAAATAGTAATCATATAATAACACCATTTAGTTTTGGTTACACTTCTTTATGATTATCGGTGTCTGTGTATAATACATAAATGATGTACCATTGACGTGATTTTGATTTGTGTGTTTTTTACAGAGCATCCGGCACTGTGTACACTGCCATCGACATCGCAACTGGCCAAGAGGTACAACACTCTCACACTGTATATTATTCCTTTTTCCTCACTAAGCCATCAGGCTTATATTTGTTCTGAGCTGCAAATTCCTCCTGTCTGTTTTCTCAGGTGGCCATTAAGCAGATGAACCTGCAGCAGCAGCCCAAGAAAGAGCTGATCATCAATGAGATCTTGGTGATGAGGGAAAACAAGAACTCCAATATAGTGAACTACTTGGACAGGTCAGTTTTAGATTTCTGATCACCACAAAACAAAATTCCAAATCATTTTCCCGGAGCCCAAAGTGACGCCCAAACCACAGTCCAAAGATCTTGAGTTTCATGTCATACTGTATATATAACAGAGAGAAAAGCAAATCTGCACATTTGAGAAGCTGAGACCAGCAATTGTTTTGCATTTATCAAACCCCAAAGTTATTCTTAATTCATTTTCTGGCCATTTAATTGAAAAATAGTTTTAGCACTTGTAGTTTTACACATTATCTTGCTCCTTCACGCATTTACATGACATTGGAAATACAAGGCTGATACAAAGATTTCATAAAACTCAGAGAAGACATTAGCAGGTTAGTGGCACAGCTGTTGTAGCTTTTCTAGCATATGTAAAATCATTTTTGCATTTTTTGTTTTCTAAGACGGTTAAAGGTTCTAACACAACTCACACAGCTGCATGAATGTATCTGATGTTGACTTGCTAAAAGCAACCGACTTGTCATCATAAGTTAAACGAGGTCAATGTACGTTGTTACCACAATGACATTGAGGGATCCTCTACGCCTCCTTCTCAGGTCTTTTTCCTTTTCCTCATCTTGTTCTTCCTCTTTTTCCCTCTTCATGGTAGTCAGCATTCGTCTAAAGGTGCATTACTGCCACCTGGTGTTTTAAAACTCAAATAGGAATTAAACATCCCCAGTTTCTGTCACATTTTAGTACCTCGTTTACTCAGCTCTGATTTCTGTCCTGTTGTCCTGTCCAGTTTTTTTTTTTACCTCTAGCAGTAACATGTTTGAGGACCTTCTACCCTATGTGTTAGAAATTAACTCTGTGTCAGGCTGTCAAAGCAACAGCTGAGCTGAACACCACATTTTGAAAGGCCACACTAGTTCAGAACCACAAGAATTTTTCATTTTTTTTCTCTTTTCCCCTCCCTCTTTCCTCTGTTTAGTTACTTGGTGGGAGATGAGCTATGGGTGGTGATGGAGTACTTGGCCGGTGGCTCGCTGACAGATGTAGTGACTGAGACCTGCATGGACGAGGGCCAGATCGCTGCGGTCTGCAGAGAGGTAAGAAGCCAAGTTTACACATCAGCAGTACTGCCCACTACTTCTGTAGCTATGATGAGGTGACCCTTAAATTCAGGTGGGCACATTAAAAAAAAGCATGTGAACACTTAACCAGCCAAGAGAAAAAGACCGTCCAAATACTCTATGTGCTTAGTGCAGGCTTCCCTTTGTGTGTGTGGGTGTCGATCAGATATATATTTTTAGCTTTTTTTCCTCCCTCTTCATAGTGTCTTCAAGCTCTAGACTTCCTACACTCCAACCAGGTGATCCACAGAGATATAAAAAGTGACAACATCCTCTTGGGTATGGACGGATCCGTCAAGCTTAGTAAGTCTTTACTTTTTTGACATTTCTGAATTGGTTTTAGCGTGGAAGGATTACAGTAAAAAAAACACCATTAATGACAAACAAGTGGCTCAGATTCAAATGTTTAACACACCACGGCACCTCTCTCCCTCTGCCTCCCCCTGCAGCCGACTTTGGCTTCTGTGCCCAGATCACTCCAGAGCAGAACAAGCGCAGCACGATGGTCGGAACGCCCTACTGGATGGCACCGGAGGTGGTCACTCGAAAGGCTTATGGCCCAAAAGTGGATATCTGGTCCCTGGGAATCATGGCGATAGAGATGGTGGAGGGAGAACCGCCCTACCTGAACGAGAATCCACTCAGGGTAAAACACAAACAGGACTCAGAGCTTTAGCTCGCGGGTCATACAGTATGCATGAAAATGAAATATTCAGATTTCTTTTTCTATAGTGCCCTCGTTTGATAATCTGTTTGACCGCCTCCATCTTTCCAGGCGCTGTACCTGATAGCTACCAACGGGACTCCAGAGCTGCAGAACCCAGAGAGACTGTCATCCGTGTTCAGAGACTTCCTCAACCGTTGTCTGGAGATGGATGTGGACCGCAGAGGCTCTGCCAAGGAGCTGCTACAGGTGAAACTGAGACTCAGACCCAAACATGCATGTACACACAGTTTTGCCACACGTATTATCTTGTACATGAGCTAGTCCTGCACCATGGGGGTGATATGGCATCAACCAGGTTGTGTTGGCCATGGACAAGTAGTTAGTCAGGTGTTGGCTTGCAGGAAAATACCAAAAGATTCAGGGGAAAATTTGACAGTTAGTACAATCTTATTCTTGCAAAATCAAAGTTCAAAGTAGCCGATCTGATTCTTCAGGATCTTTGGGATTTTTCGGAACCATCTAGCAGAAAGCACATGTCCATAAAACCGACGACAATAACAAAAAAAACCCTTTCTTAATCTTACTTGATACAATTTGTGTTAAAATTAATAATTTCACATGTAAGTGCACAAACACTGTTGACTAATGTTACTTCTTCTCCTGGAATTGCTAGTTAATATTGCTAAAGATGGCTTCAAGATCAAGATTTTGCCTCCTACCTTTGCCATCTTCTGCTCTGATTTGGTAACATCTGGAGCAGATGTTACCAAATCATCAAAACATCTGGAGCAGATGTTACCAAATTATCACTAAATGTCAACTTTTTTTATATTTTTGTAACTCTGTATTTCTTCATATCCTCTCTGTCCTCTACAGCATTCCTTCCTCAAGCTGGCGAAGCCTCTATCCAGCCTGACGCCTCTGATTGTAGCCGCGAAGGAAGCCATAAAGAACAGCAGTCGCTAGGGAGTGCCCTCTGTCCGCACCCAAGGCTGGAGCCCTGCCTGTGTTGTGTGCGTTCGTGGGGGCAGAGACTTGGGTGTATGGTTGGTGGGTGACGTGACAGTGACAGCACAAGGAGGGGGCTTTGTGTGACGTACAGTGACAGCACAAGGACAAAAGACCCCCAGGCCTCAAATGTAGGACGGACATCTGGCCTTGCAGCCTCTCGGCCCATGCTGCTGAAAAGACCTTGCCTCTTCGTTTACTTCTCCAGCACTCTGTACATGTAGAGCAGTCCATCACAAGTGTGTGTGTGTGTGTGTGTGTGTGTGTGTGTGTGTGTGTGTGTGTGTGTGCGTGTCCGGGCGCGTGTATGTGCGTGTGTGCAAAGTGTGCACATCTCTTTGTGTCATATGTCTATCTTTGGGAGGCAGTCGCTCCCCAAACACCCTCCCAAAAAATAGGGTGAAAAAATAGAAAAACGTGCGCTCAGTTTCGAGAAGAAACTTCAGGAGTGAGGAGGAGGAACTAACAAAACTGAGGAGCCCCCGATCCCTTCCCTGGCCAGCTCCTGGCTTGGTTTTCTTTCCTCTAGTCCCTCCACAGTGCACGATCAGGCCACACCTGCACCTGCAGTGACCAGCTGTTGTGAGAGAGTGACCCTGGACCCAACCTTTGCCTGCATGACCATGGCTCTGTGCAGAAACATTGCTGCTCCTCTGCAGATCGTCACGTCTCAAGGTGGTGGATTTGTGTGTGTGCGTGTGCGTGTGTGTGTGTGTGTGTGTGTGTGTGTGTGTGTGTGTGTGTGTGTGTGTGTAGGGGTGCAGCTACAGGGGAAAAAAAAGTCAGGAATAATTTCACATGACCTACATCAGCTTTAAACATCCTTCAGTAATCTTCTTCATGTCAGTGAAGAGATACGGGTCTCTATTTCATTTGAGCCAACGTAGTTCAGACAGTCTCTGTCATAGAAATCACTGGAGTTCATGAAGGTTACCTGCAGTTCATTTACTGATTTCCGCTCTTTCCAAAACTGGCTACATGCTATCAGGTTTAATGCTCTGACTGTTTCAAATACTGAAAAAACTGAGTTTCCCCACATAAAATGTTGAATTCAACCAAAACTGTAGAACAGCATCCATCTATAATGTGACACAGCCGCAGATCACACCTGCAAATAGAAAATAATAAGTATATACTGTACATAATTTTTCATCATTTTCAGGAGGAAAGTGTTACATATTCAGTTGTCATTTTAGTGATGTAGTGACACTGACATGCAGATGACCTGTCACATATTTAAATCAACGTTTGACACTGTAAATTCTGCATAGTCTATGTGGCAGAAATTTTTAGAATAACTATAATAGTGCACATTAACACTCAGTTTCATTACCAATGCAAGCATTTTATCTGCTAATTAGACAGATCCTTTAAAAGCGCATGTCCACGTACACTATGGCATTCATTGTGTACAAGCATCTCAAATAGGATTATCCATGCTAGTATTTGTGGGTTTCTGTTTTCTTTTCATGTTGTACCATGTTGTAAATAAATCAGAGTTAAACAGACAGTTCAACATCTATCTTAATTAATGTTCAGGCCTTCTTTTTTTTTAATTTCATCTGACAATTATGTATGAAATAGAAGAAAAGACAAATACTAGATCAGAGACTCAACAGAAATGATATATGATATCATTTAGATCTCTGTATATGTTGATGGATAGTCCGCTTTTTAAGGGGCTGGTACACAGTGGACAGTGCGTAATCCTAAAAATGCAACATTTCAGATTTTCAAATGAGCTCTTTTTTTTTTATGACAGTGGCAAACAGAAGGTCATGTAATTATTTACCTACAGTGAGTTGGACGTCCAGTGCCACATTTATCACAGTTTCCCAGAGTGTCCTAAGCATCCTTGTGCCCTTAGACCTTAAGCAGGAAATAACAAGAAAATCTTTGCCAACATATAATACACTGAACATAAATTTAGTCAATCCAAAACAACAATCTGCAACGAGACATTGAGGGAGAAAAAAAAATGTTCATGTCATTTGTCCGTTGACTGTTTAAATAACCTTGTCGAAGGTTATGAGAGATATGTATGGGCAGAAATGTAAAATGTAGATGAAGGTGGTTGTTTCAGTTGTTCTCCAGTGTGGGAAATGATTCCTCTATTTTGCAGGAGCATGGGGTATTAGTAAATCTTGTGATCTTAGACTGCAGAATACATGACATGACTGTGACTGTGCCAGCAAAATCCTGGCCTTATCTTTCCCTTTCCAGCTGAACAAGCTAAATATTCAACAACATTCATGTCTAATAAGGCACTGGGCACCAACCATCCTCCTCACCCACCTGCACCCCTCCCTCCTCTTCTCCTTTGGTATTTCAGTGCTCCTCATTCATGCTTCAGTGTCCTTTTGTCTTTTAATGGTGTCTTATGTGACTTTTCTCATGTGATCTATATGTTTGTGGTGAGTTTTTTGGACAGATTAGAGAGGGGGAATGTTATCCACTGAGCGAAGTAGTGAGTGCCATTTCATGATTGTACCTTGAGCACTGAAAACAGAAACTGTGGTAGAGGTTCATATCGTTTCCTAACATTTCCTTCCATACCTGGTTTAGCGTTTAAACTCGTTCCTGTACAGAGGTTATCTACTTTGTGTCGTTATTTGGTAGCTTCGTCAGGCATTTCCCATGTAGCATCCCTCTGTGCGTGAGTGTGTGTGTCTGCGTGTTGTTAGGGGGCTACCTCAATCTGCACTAGAAGATGCCTCACTCGTGTTGTCCACCTTGACTTTGAGGTGCAGGGTAGCTGCTTAGTCACATTGTACCTCCATTGTACAGCAAATGTACAGAAGATGAAGGAGTGATGTTAGACAGGAGGATGCAACAGAATTCATGCATGTAAAACAAACTATACACTGTATCTCATCTTCAAATAGGTTAAGATTGTTAGGATATGTATGTATGTATGTAAATATGACGGGAAAACCCCCCCTTTTTTCAGAATTATGTAACTTAAAATGACAATATTCAGGTTGCTCTATGGTATGTATCAATAAATGTTTTGCACCCTGGAAATCAAAAAGAGAAAAACAAACACACACGCCGTCTCTGCACTCCTGGATCCAGCTCTCCTGTTTGGGCTTTATCGGACACTCCTTCATCTGGACAGAGAGCCGATGAATGCAGCACTCTGTGTGCGGGCCCACACAGTCTGTCCACTGCTGAGTGTTAGTACATGTATGTGTGTGTGCGGTAGGTGTGGGTGGCCTGTCAAGGAAGCTTCGCCGGCCCTGGGACGTTTGGCCTCTGCCCCATGTACAGGTCTGAACTATGAGCACAAAGGTGAATTTCGGGACAAGAGACACCGCTGACGTGCCCCTTTTCTGTGGTTGCGCCTGTACATTCCTATCTTCTGAATGTGTAAACCTGTACACGTGGTGTGAAAATTCCTCTATTAATGTGTATCAAGAGAATGGAACAAAGACAAAAAATGTTACTTTTTAAATTATTATCATTATTATTATTATTATTACTCTTATTATTGTCTAGCTTTGTAAAACTGCTGATCCATCTGGCATACCTCAGCAGGCCTTTCCCCATCTTTGAAAAAGGACAAACGATTGAAGGGGAAATGAGGTTTTGGATAAACTATTTTTAATTGTGGTTGAAGCAATAGACTTTTTGAACTTTGAATTGTGCATGGCTGTGTCTTGAGTGTAAAAAAAAACAAACAAAATATTGCAGTTTGGGAACTGGACTGAAATAAAAAGAGGAAGAAAACCAGAGTTGTGACGATGCTTGTTGGTTATCATGATTCTTAGGTTGGATTTATTTTAATTTGTTATGTCATTCATGGTTTTGCATTTTGTTAATAATCGTGAGAACAAAACATGATGCTATGAACTGATGGAACATGCATTAAAGAGACAGATGATACATGAATTATGAGTTGGGCATACAGTGAGTTCTCTGCATAATGATGATTATATAGGCCATAAATATAATTGTATTTAAGACTTGAATGACAAAGCATTGCCATATTTCTCACAAATATTTGAAGTGTAAAAAAAAAAGATATCTTCACAAGCAAATTGCAAAATCGTCAATATAAAAATGTTTCATAAGTTATACAAAAGTAATTTAAAAAAAGTAATAAGAGAGAAGATGAAACATTTGATTAAAAGTAACAAACAGGAAGTGACATTCAGTCTATCCAATAGTGCCCTGAAAACAGGTCATACTGCTGTTGGTTTTAGTGCTTTGATGATGGCACGTGTCAAGTTCACACCACACAGCTCAGCACTGAAAATGATTCAGCTGTCTCTCGGGTCACCGGCGAGGTCACATGGCCGTCAGCTGAGTCGCAGTGATGATCCTCACGCCGATGCTCCCCGGCATCTCGTCAGCCATCTGCCGACCTCGCTTCCTCAGCTGAAGCCTCTGAGGATCAGTGGTGTCCTTCACCAACCCGGACAGCACCACTTGGCCCATGAACTCGTCCTTCACTGCGTTACTGTTCCACACCTGAGGAGGACCAGTCAGTTTTGAACATACAGTAGGACACTGTGCCGTATCACAAAGTGATCATAAGGGCTTTGACAAAGGGTTGGCGATTCTGATTTGATTATGTTGAGTTTAGGTAAACATGATGATGCTGTGCTCTCATATATAGCCAAATAAAAGCTGCCATTACATATACATACAGAAAAATAACAACAACAAAAAAAATCTTTTAATAAGCATGTTAGGGGAAGGTTAACAAGTTCCTTATATTAGTAGTAAACCCCTTTGAAATCACACTGAATTATTGAAAAATAAAAAAATGTCTTTGAGCATAAATCAAGGCTTTTTTTCTGAATCTGTAAAATTTTCATTTTGGTGATACATGGTTTCCACAGGACAGTAACCAACAATCTCTCTGCACTGCCAGTCACTCAGATTAATTAGTCATAAGGAGCAGACAGGTGCCATCTTACCTCAACAGTTATGGGCTTTCTGGGTTTCTTCCTATAGAAAATGGCGCTGGTTGTAAATTCTGGTTGCAAGGTGTCCGTCTTGATGATGGATTTCACTGACCGGCCTTCGCAGTATATAATCACGTAGGGGTCTGCACCTGCATGAAAACATGTAACAACATGTTTCAGTGAACTACACTGGTGGAATGAAGACTTTTCATAGCGTTTAGGAGACGTGCGGGTGAACTCTAGATCGTGGCACATCCTCCAACCTCCTGTGCTGTCCTGGTTCTGCAGCCCCTCAGCTCCGTGGACGTAGATGTGAGTCACAACTTGTGGGTATCCCAGAAATGAACTCCAGCATTTCACTTTCGGCTTATCCTCTGTCAGCTCCCTGTGAGATTAGAGGAGAGTTAAACTTCCAGAAGAGAAGCTGAGTTTGATAGTCCAAACATTGTGACATTATGTCTGTGTTTCATAGACACAACACTGACTGGACTTGACAGCTTGGATTGCCTGTATGTAAGCAATCACAATTTGGTGCTGTGTTTAGATTTGCCAACAAGAATGTCAGAAACAACAAAAAATTTGGTAAGACAGAAACTTTGGCCAAGAAAAACAGTGGTAGAGCGATGTTTATAGACCACCGACATCCATTACGGGTAAATTTTTATAGTTTCCACTCTCCAAAACATTCATTTGTGTGCTTTTCTTGGAAATGATCCATTCACCAGTGTCTGAAATGAACAGTCCAAGAACAGCATGTCCCCACTTTCCCTGAAGTGTCTCTTTAGACCTGATAATTGTAAGATAAAACTTACAACATTACATTTCTGTCTGCCAACATTAAGCGGAGCCACACTGCTGATTCACACTGACTCCACTGTCACCTCAGTCGTACCTGCACCCTGAGTCCACGTCAGTGAAAACCCGGATCATGTAATCGCCCAGCGTCTGAGGCCTGAAGGTGGTGGGGATGATGACGTAGCGGCCCTGCGGCAGCATGCTTCTCATAAACACTGTGCGAGCGTTGATGTAGGTGGACGTCTCCACACAATGTTGTGTGAGGAAGTCATGCATCCGATACTTCCTGTTCAGCTCCACCTGGAAAAGGAAAACCGTTTAAACTTTATTTAGTGTTTATTTACTTTACTCATCAAGTATAAAGTCTGGCATGTGATTTTTACATGTGCATTCATTGGTGTTTGCCCATGTAAACACTAGTTCATATTTAATATAAACACATAAGTATTGTGGTTCAACCAGTTTAGGCTTGATGGACTGTGTGTGGTGATACATGTCATGATATAACTCAAAGGTTACTTTTTGACACTTGTAAACCCACTGACATCTGAAATAAACACTCCCCAAATTCTGTATAATGCTGTGTATGACACAATACACACATATCATACATATCATTTTATTTTATGGATGTTAACAGTTCTAGTGGAGTAATAATTTGCTGTGTATTGCCTAAACATATTATTCTTCCCCCTGGTGGCAGAATAGTGAATAAAATTTTGGTGTGTAAAGTGTGTATTTTTTCAGTGTTATTGTAATTTTAGAGCAATACAGTTCTTTTACTGGTAAGATGAGTGGTGTGGTGATAAGTTAAGAAAATGAAAATCCTGTTGGACATGCTCCACAATTACACTGCATTTACTTCTTGCTTATGCAGAGGGTTAATATCATAATCATCATAGTCCTCAAGCTCCAGCTGGGGACAAACTCAGAGGTTCACTGACACATATTTATCTATTTAATCAAAAGTCTTAAAAACTGGCAATTTGATAAAACAACTATTGAGTAAAAGTCTTCTTTTTACTGAGGACACAAAGAATACTGGACAGCAACATAAAACAGAGAATGTGGACACAGTGTCTGGAGTCCATCACATAAAGGAGGCGGACACATCTCTTACACAATGACCATAGATGACAAGGGTTAAATTCAGGTTAAGGCTTCAAGCTCACAGCATTTCAACGGGCCGCGTGCACGCAGCTGTTCACAGGCCCTGTGCTGTGTGGCACCAGCACTTATTGCTGTCCAGAATTTGCCCCTTTGGCAGCACTTCTGTGAGCATGATAAGAGTGTAAGATCAGAACTTAGCCAGATCTCTGGACTCATGTGAATGTGGCAATCTAATCCCTGCCTAAGAGATAAAATCTAGTCCGGCATGTTCTACAGCTGCTCTAAGGGAGAAATGCGAAATGGCTTTGTAATTTAATAATCAGTTAAAACTTCAACTGAAAAACATCAGAGTTAAATAGACTTTACGAATGTCGCTCACCACTGTATAATTCTACCCATAAATGTGTTGTGCTTTTTTTAATCTTTCAGTGAGGTTGTGGTTTCATATATATTCGGTATATTGTCACTCAGAAGGAATGTAAATGAAAGGCTTTTTCAAAATCTCCAGCAACCATCAAATTACACGAGATTTCTATAATGGCTGCACAAGCACAGCACCAGCACACAGGCTGCTGAACAGCCTGCATCTCGCCTAGAGCCCAAGAAAAAACAGTCACCAAATGTATTTGTTTCCACTCTGTTTTTCAGCTTGAAACAATCAACTAAAGTATGTGCATTCTTTGTGTTTAAATGTATGATTTCACCACTTGTTAAATGGTCTGTTTTGGTTCTGATAAACTGATCATGTAATGTCTGCCTGTCATAAGAAACACCCAACAACTCTTCACTGTTGGCTCAACAAGTGAACAGAAAAGTATTGTGAAAGCCAAAATGTGATTGAAATGACCCCGTTTTCCCCCAAAATAAACTAACTTTTGACTAACGACCTCATCCCAGACGAACACCATTTCCTCTGTGATGAACTTATCATTGCAGTCAATCTCCTCCTGATCTTTGTGCAATGTTTCACAAACTCTTCAACTCTCTTTTACTGTCATTTGCCCCTGGTTTGTAAGTCTCTTGGTGCTTATTATGCAGTTATAGTAGTGGATGTTGGAGGTTTTACACCATATGTTACCTTAAAGACACCGAACCCAATGGTTAGATTTTCTCCTTGGCCAACTTTTCTGTGGATCTTCATGTCTCTCTGCTGCAGGGAGATCAAAACTTCATCGACCTCCTTCGTAACATCAAACAAATACTGTAAAAGAAGTTGAAAAGGAATGAATATACAGGTGTACATGTGCATGAACGCAGGTGATGTGAGGAGCGTGTGGTACCTGTGGGTTCTGCAGGAACGTCTGCTTGTGGTTAGCACAGCCTCCACACCGGTTTAACAGCGGCTCTGCATTTTTGGTCCAGCTCCCGAAGTGCACAACCTCATTCCATGTCTTGTGGATACTGATGAGCGAAGTATTGATTAGACGGCAAATGTCTGCATCTGTGAAGCACTTGCACCAGTCTGTGAATGACATCCTGTGGACGCAAACAGAACATGCGTGATTACAATGTCATGGAGGAGATAAACTCCGCAGCTGGACCGTTGTAATTCAGGGGACTTAAGCACTTACCAGAACTCTCCATCATCCTCCACTGTGATGCCAAGGTTGCCCCTCTCCATGTCACCAACCTTTGACCATTCCTCAGAGCTGACAGACACCAGGCAGAGCAAATGGTTAATGCACTTATGAATCACTTCTAGATACAAATAAATACTTTTAAAGTTAGATTCCACACAAAATCCACCTTTTGAGTCATTAAATGTGTGTTTTTTTTTGTTCACAGAATAGATGCTGTTACCAGGTTAGATATACAGCAGCTCCAGTATATTTCACATTGGAAAAAAGACGGACAACTTCTAAAGCAATGTCCACGTCTCTGCTGTCTCTCCATATGCTCAGTATGTTTCACTAAAATATGGTGAATTACTTCCATCTCAGTTATTATGCAGGGCCCAGGAGAGCTTGTGAGTTCTTCCACTGGTCTGAACTGAAACCTTTGGACCATACTGGGCATACAAAGGGACAGTGGATGGAACTGGATAATGCCACAGGATAGGTCTGAGAAGTTTTATAATTTTTTTTCTCATCCTTATTGGAATCTGCCTTAACTAATATGAATTTAAGTTGACCACAGTGTCTTCTCCATGAAGGAAACTATCAACTTTTTACAGTCACCTTTTAAATCTTTAGGCAATGAGTTTCCCATTTTATCATCTGTAATGAAAAAATAAACCATGGAGAATAAATTAGCTCTATCAACCTCTCACCTGTCACTCCACGCTCCTTTCCACTCAATCTTGCCCCAGGGGTTCCTCATGCGGATCAGAGGGATGGTTTCGTTCTTGAAGTAGGCCAGCAGCCCGTGGCCCAAGCGCACCTTCTTCACTGCAGTCACTGAGTACGCATGGCCTTTCACCAGCCCGTTTGCCATCCTGTTCTCAATTTCATGAGGCTGCGCCTGATGAAATTATAAAAACAATCAGTTCACAGTGGCCAGTTCGTCTTAAGAGCAGAGACAAAGCGGTGAACATTCAGAAACAGAACAAACCTTAATGGAGCAGCTTATAATTCCTCCACGGTCATACACCTTTAGTAGGTCTTCAAACAGCTGGTCTTGTTTTTTCTGGTCTTTATAGTAGGCACCAGCCTCCAGGTTGATGGCTTCAGCCACAGCTCCACTGAAATCCACCACAGCATCTCCAGTGTTTCCCCCCTCCAGCGACTCATAGCAGCCGGAGAGCCTGGACACAGGGTGCAGGGCAATCACGAGTTTAGGGTTGGAAGTGTTACATAAATATTAAAAGATATAATGAACTATATTTAAGAATACTGTTGAACACAAGACAGCATTCTATATATTTGTAATTTGTAATACATACCAATATATTACCAATACAATATTACAAAACACATTTTAAAAATTTTATATGCTTTATAGAAAGCAGCAATAGTTGTTTTATTTTATCATGCAGTATTAATGTATTGTTGCTATTAGTGTTATAAGTAGTAGAACTTGTATTGGTAAAAGGATCTATATTTGTATTTGTTGTGATTTATTCTATTTTAAGATAATGATCATTTATAACATATAGTTATATTTTTGAATATGAAAAAGAAGGTAAAAATCAATGTCTGAATAAGGGACAATCTGGTTTAAGTGCACTGACTTGGCGTAGGCCTTCTCCAGCAGGGCGCTCCAAAATTCATTGGTGTTTTTTGAGTGACAGTAGATGAGCTCTCCGTTAATTGTAGGCAGCCGGTCGTCCACCACCACATCTATCCACTCTCCAAACACCCAGAACTGAAAGTGGAAGATTCCTGCATAGTCCTCCGGGTGTTTGGGATCCCACTCCTGCTCCTTCCAGTCAGGAATGACCTGGAAACACACAAACACAATGCAGCAAATATCAGTGTGACTGCTGAGTCATTTTCAGTTAAAGCTACTGTAAATGAAATGGCACGTGGCTTCCAATGTAATGTCACTGACAGATTTTAGTTAAACATCTACACATATAGCAGTCAGCAATGACATACGTCTGCTTAGACATACTGTACATTATAACAACTTAGAAATACATTTTTAATTTCTACTCTCATACATCAATCATACAGCATTTAGAGCAAAGGAGAAGAGCGGTGGATATAAGGCATTTTTACACAACATGAATTCATATATATATATATATACATATTTTGAAAGTACAATCTTTAACCTATGGGTTGTACTGTATATATAATATATATTGTACAAGGGATAAATGTATGGTATATTTTCCCCATGTTTTCACAAACTCTTCCAGTTATTTAAGGAACACTTATCTTTTCAGGATATAGAATACATAGAATATACACGAAATATTGTAAATAGCGTAAATCCAGTCATCAGTTGAAGGCATTTGTGGCTTTAGCAACTTTGTAGTGGTGGCCTTCTTGTTCCCAATGGTGTAAACAAATATTCGATGCTTAAGTTTATTTCTTTTAGTTAATAAGCCACTTTGGGAACTTTTAACCCGAAAGATCAAAAAAGCCCAAATATGTGGACAGTTTCCAATGACTCACTCTGGCTCTAACAGTTACAATCTGCACGCTCAGTTCTCTGAACAGGAGAGGAAACAACTCTGAGCAGAAAGTTTGTGGCTGACATTTGATTCCTGAGTGTTCGGTTCTCTAGCTTCTCTTCTCTTCCTCCTACTACAAGTTTCTACACACTGTTTTCTAAATATTTTTTTGAATTATTTTGAATTCATGGCAGTGGCACAACACAGTAGCTTATATGATAGGCTACCATATACAAGCAAAGACAATCTGACTCAAAGTTGTGCGTTATTGTACTGAAGGAATGTGGCTTCGCTCTCAATCATGAGTGAAGCCCCTCAGGTGAATTCCTGAGACGTCCAGATTTGAGTTGAGTATCAGCCGGTTACACGTTTCGACCCTAATCCTTTACCCCACTCCTGCTGTCTCATCAGAGCTACAGGACCTATTAGCATTATTAAAATTTGGTTACCAACAGCAAATACACCAGCCCTTTGACTCACAGAGTAAATAAATCAAGTGAACTCACCTTCTTCCAAAGGTTTGGCTTCAAAGCCAGACAAGAGCAGGCAGCAACAAACCAGCAGTTCCCCACAACTCCCTGGTTCAGGTCATGGGAACTGATGCCCTCCACAAACAGATGGGGCTCATTGCTTATCTCCTGCAAGAGAAAAACGAACAGGATGTACACTTTATTCTTAAAGAATTTGTAGAACACTTTACCATAAACAAGAAAGAAGAAACAAACCTAATGGAGCGGTGTTATAGGATTTTTCAGTTAAATTGCAGTTTGTATAATTCACTCTATTCTTTTCAGCAGCAGTAATTGCATTTCCTGATGGATGCTACTGATGAACTACTACTACAGCTGAGTCACTCACCCCGGGTCGTTTCCACTCCACAGTCCCTGGAGGTGATCTCTGAAAATACAGCGACGCGTTGGTGGCTGGAAATTCTGGATCCTCAAACAGCTTCTTGTCCTGGATGCAGTTCCTCCTCAGATCAGCGTAGTGCTGGTTTTTGTATGGGGCAGCAGAGGAGAACATGGTCCAGATGCTGATGATTCACAGCTGTGGGTTAATGACAGGCAGCAGACGTTTTCAGACTTTATATAGTGTTTAGAAGCAGGATCTCTCTGTGGCCTATGACAGTGAGCATTTCTGGGCAAAGTCTCCTAGAGGTTTTCCTATAAATCCCTACACTACTTCATTCCCACATCAGCAACAGGCTGCCCTGTGACCCTGAGTCCCTCTGGACAATCTGAATTTACTGATGAGCCTACAGTGTAGGATAAAAAGGTTTTTTACAGCATTGTAAAATCCAAAACATTTATCTTCGCCAACTGTGGGTTATTAATCGAGTTTCTGTGGAAAGTGCCCGCAGATCCAAAGCTAAATTTATAAAAGTATCTCACCAGAGATACTTTTTCTCTGGATTTTTCATGTCCAACATGACTGACAGGAAAATAAATTAATTACATACTGTATCCTTCACACACACTTCCTGGTCTCAGGCAAACAAGACTGCTCTAAATCCAATAAGATCACTCTATAACCAAGCCCTAAAATTCTTGGATAAGAAACCACGACAGTTCCATCACTGTGATCTACTCTCAAAATACAAAATGTTGAGCCTCCATAACCTTGTTATGTTCTCAGATATTCGCTTAGTATACAAGATTATCCATAATGCTGATCCTAATGCCAACCTTGTCACTTTAAATGTAGCTATTGACTCTCGCATATTGCACCTTGAAATATACACCTATATCTTCTATCTGTGGTTTTATTGTTTTTATTGTGGTTTTTATTTTTAAAAATGTGGTTATTGGGTCCTCATACTTTATTTCGTGCTTTTCTAGTGTCTTTCGATATACTGGGTCCTTGTATTTTCTGTATTCTGTCATTTTTCGTGATGTGTCTGTTTGTTAAATGTGGGACTGCAGATTGAAATTAGCGTTTCGCTAAATCTGGTGCGACCACCTTTTCATTTCTTGTAAATGATCAATGTCATTGCACAATGTCCCTTTGTTTAATTGAAATAAGTAAAATATGTTAACAACAGCCAACAAAAGCTGCCACATATATGTGAATGGATCAGTTTTAACCTAAACTCTCAAGTATTTTAAGAACAACAGAAATGTGTTTAAGGCCAGAAAGATTACTGTATTTATGACAGAGTCAGTGGTGAATAACACAGCTGTATTCTCTGGGGAATGATGATGTTTTGACCCTTGATCTTTTGTCCCTTCTCACTGACCCCTCAGGACTGAGCAAGTGGAGTTGATTTATATGGATACAGCTTGATGTTTTATTTTTGCCAAGAATAACACATTACAGCAAACCAAGATTAATTTACTGGAAGTTCTCGACGCACATAAAGCTTCTTCTTCATAAGAATCCCCCAGGAGTGAGTCTTTAGAAGTCAAATGTTAAGTAATGAAATGTCTGGGGCAGTAAGAGCACTGACTTGAAAACTTCAAGTAAGAGAAATGAGGAAACTAAAGTGAAAAAAAAACAATAAATGCCAACTGTTCCTCTCAGACACCGCTCCACATTAAGGAAGTTTCCAGGTGTTGTACCTGTCTGTATTCTCCCTCCTACACACCAGTGGCCTATTTATGCATGTGCATTGCAAGAGCCACACCCGGGCTGCGTTTGTTTTGTTTTACAATGGATTTTATTTCCTCCCTGTTATTGTTTTACTCCAGTAAGTGACGTTAGGAAGAAGGAGTGTTAAAACTTTGAATGTCATATGCAGCTACCAGACTTTAAACTGAGCATGGCTCATTCTGTGGCTCTGGTAAGGGACAGCGTTGTGAGCCTGTAGGTGCTTGTGTGTGAATGTTATCTGTTTGAGAGTTCCTGGCTAATGTGCTCAGGCAGGTTATTTTTGTAGTTGGTTATTTGCTCTTCTTTAGTGGACCATGTGTGTAGTAAAGGCCTATGAAAACTTTGCTTGACACACTATTTGGTATGATATTCTCTGTTTAACCGGCGTAATATATGTAAAAGAGACAGCAGTTCGTTTTCCACACATTTCTGTCCTGCATGACAGGACACGATGGGAATGTTAAAAGTGTTTTAGTCTCATTCAGTGGTGGCACAGCAAGAAAACAAAAACATCAGATCAGAACCAACTATGGGTATCACCAGGCTGCAGGCATGCTTAAATGTTTCACATTTTGATGTGGCGTTAGTACGGACTTGTATCTGAGAAAACCTCTTAATAAATCATTACATGGACACAGAGAAGTATGAAATATTGCCAGTAGAAACATTAATGTGAGTGAGCACATTAATAAGGAAGAACTGGCATAGAGGATTGAGGCAAAACTTTTACTTGCGAAACTAAAGATGTCTCATACAAAAGGTTGTGAAGTGATGGTACAAACAAACAAACAAAACACAGTAAAGGTTAATCCTAGTTAATCCCATGAAACTATAGTGAAGCTAAACACTGTATATAAGATCATTAAAACTGAATTAAAGACACTAAGCTTGTAGTAAAAGCAGGTCTCACCTGTGCTGAGCTGTCTTATCTTGCAGTGCAGTCCTGTGAAGCCTCCTGCGAGATGTGTTAAAATCAGTCACCACATTTCTCTTTGAACATTCGTCACACAAAACGAGGCGTCTGTGACACTTTTGTCCAAACCAAATCCAGTTTCTTGAGTTTCAACCTCTGCCTGTGAGGACAAACACTGACTAAAAACTGGTCTGACGAGCACCTCTCTGCTGCAGGAGGTGTTATGCAAAGGCTGGTGATTACAAGGAGGGAGGGAAGGGAAGACTGAAACTGAACACCTTCTACCTCCCATTACCCTGCAACTCATAGGTGAAACAAGCAAAAACTTGTCCTGTTCTATTACAATAACAACAAAAAAAACGTCCATATATTTTCCTCGATGTATGCACTGGATGACACATTTATCTTTGTTAAATCATTTGTTGTGTGTTGTTTATAATGCTAAAAAAAATCTTCCAGTTATCCAGAGGTCAATCAATTTGAATAAACATGACTAATAAGCCATGTGCAATCCCCAGACTGTAAGTGAACTGTGGTTATAAGACAAACTGGCAGGCTCTCAGAAGTGAGGGCTTAACTTTTAAGCAGCACAAGAAGCATTTTGACTCCCTCAGATGGACAAAAATCTTGTCTGGATAATTGCAGCTTTAAACTGAGGGCAAAAGAGGCAGCTTGAGAAGAATGCTTGGAGGAAGCCAACAGTAATAAGGTAAATTGATGCAGGAGTTAAGAGGAAAGGCGGATTAAGAAGCTAAACAAATTTTGAAAATAAAAAAATCATTTGGATTAGAAGGAATATGAGAAAGAAACAATGGAGGGTTTCATATATGAGCAAAAGTTCATGAGAAAAGGGTGTTTCAGTGGGGGGAAGGGAAATATCTAGTCACACAGTGTATGACGGGAACCTATTTAAAAAGGCGACAGCAACTTAATGTAACAGAGTGCAGCGAAGCCTAATAACGCTCTCTCCTATCACTTGCAGTCTTCGATGCATTGGTTAAATGAAGTGCAGCCAAAGTGCAGCCTGATACTAGCTCCAGGGAAAAGTTCACATGTCTCTTCCTTGTGAAAATGTATGTATGCTGTGTTGTCCTCAGAAAATTCTTTGCCTGGACATCAGTTTTTTTGCCACAAAAAACAAAAAAACAGAAAACACAGAAGCAAATCACAGAAGTTGGTAATTATACACATTATTCACAAAGTATCATTTTTTATTTCATGATGTTCTATTTATCTAATTATCTGAGGGACAATATATTGAATTGATTATTAAAATACTTAAGACATTTCTGCTTATATTTTGAAAACAAACTGCAAAATATAAAAAACAAACCAATTAATTGTGAAGCATTCAAGAAAATTGTAAAGCTCAGCTTAATGCTATCAAATGCTATTTCATCATTCTGAATTTCACATTAAAGCACATTTCACATTGAATCAATATTCTTACAACAATAATGTCGCAAAGGACAAAGTGAAAACAATGTCACAATGTTAAAATCGTATGAACCTACGGAGAATGATCACCCAAATCTGAAGCTCCACTCAGCTTTATGGAGCTTTATAGTGATTTTCACTGTACTGTTTAGCCATCCGGCCTCTAACTTTACTGCTCTGGTTCACTAGCCTACTGTTGTTTTTGGCTGCAGCAGCTGCTTTCATCTACGAAGTGCAAAAAACCCACTGTACACTACATGCTCACTGGATCATTCAGAATAACACTGGCACTGTTGTTGCTCCAGCTAATTGGAGCTAACTGGCTAAATTTGGTAGCACTTACTAAGCTTTATTTCTTAAAGGACAAGTGTAGGATTTGGGGGATCCATTGGTAGAAATAGAATATAATATCCATATTTATGTTTTCATTAGTGACCTGTCACCTGAAACTATGAATTGTGGTGTTTTTGTTTCTTAGAATGAGCCCTTCATATCTACACAGGGAGCAGGTCCTCTTCCACAGCCTGCCATGTTGTAGCTACCACCATGTTTCTATAGTAGCCCATAATGGACAAATGAAACACTTTTACGTTACCTGAAGGCCACCGTAAGTTCTCCAACGGTGAGGGGAGGGGTATTCAGTTGGTTGCAATCTGCAATCTCAGATGGCACTAAAACCTTCGTGCTGGCCCTTTAAGAGAGGCTGGGAGCGGATGATTTGCTGAAAGGTGAGGGAATGGTAACTGCAGAAAACAGCACTGTCATGTAAGTGACAAAAAAAAAAACTGAAATAAAAAGTGACATGAAATAACAGTGTTGTTGTGAAAAATGACATGAAATAAAAACAAATCTGAGGATAGCAGTGTCCATCAGTTGCTCTCTTGTGCTTCAGTTTGGTCCAAAAGAAATATCTCAACTGCTGGCCAGATTTTTATCACATTTGCTGTGGACACTCAGAATCCACAGAGGATGAATCCTTTTGTTGACCTCCTGACCTTTTATCTCACATCATCATCAGCCAAAAGAAATCTTCTTGCACACAAGAAACATTCAAATTCAAAAGCGCAGGTTTTTATGACATTTAATGAGTAAATGTATGTCCCCTTGAAGATAAACCTTTACACTTTGACTCCCCCATGAATTTTCATTCAGCTCTATTTTCAAGCCAAATTTCAAGGCCAAAAATGCACTCATACACAAGATATTTCATAAACTGATGAGGCACATGGAAATAAAGTTAGCCCAGCACGATGATGCTTTTGATTAACTCATAGCCCTTCCTCCAGTGCCACCCAGAGGTTAAACTACATTTTGAACCACAGCACTGAGGCTCCATAAATTGCACAGTTACAGTAGCACTGTGTTGTCCAGTGCTTTGCTATTGTGGAACAGTAAAGCCTCTGGGGATATTAGCAGAGATTTACACTTTTCATTGTGTTGTTACAAAAGAAACAGCTGACAGCAGAAATCTGTCCCACGCTGATACCTAACATGATCAGACTATTCCCTGGTCATCTTTCTAAAAATCTCTCATCGCCCCAGGGACACATTTGTGATCTGTAATGGATTCTGTGTTTGAATCTTATGAAGACTTGACAGGTCAAAGAGAAATATCTGTCCTATAAGGCTGCAGACAGTCAATATTTGTGAACATGAGACAATCTCTTTCAGAGGCAGAAGGCGATGAACTTGAACCCTTAATGTCGTCAAGATGTGAAATGTGAAACAGATCCAGAGAATGAGTGGTGAAGAACGCAGTATTTGGAATAAAGGTGCATTCTCTGGCACAGAATAAATAACAGGACAGAAAGAAAATCCAATCCCACAATATCAACTGAGCTGCTAAGGACTTTCTGTCCTAATGTCAGCAGAGATTAGAGTTTTGATCATAAATATTGATTACACCGTACTTTACTGAACCCCACTCATTACAAATATAAATTCTTAAATTAAATATTTCTATAAAGCATGTTTTACTAGAGCTGTTTTTCTACTATTGGCTTGAACTTTCTCTCACTGAGCACATAACCACATGTCTGAAAAATGCTTGCTTTGAGTTTTGAGTCGAGTAATATTTCACTCTACCTCAAATAAATCATTGTTTCGGTGGTTGAAATCAGAGAATGAAAGGATCAAATTTCTGCTGATATCAACTCAGATGACAGCCAGACTCTGTCACAACATTTAGTCTTCCTGGTGACATTTTAAAGATATTCAACTGTTAAAAAACAGGCTCATGATCTTATATGGCCTAGAATAGTTGCCAGGAAAGACAGACATTCAGTACTGTGACCCTGTGTTAAATATTTACAGTCTTTTTATAGTAAATTTACACTACGAGATAGTGACTGATAATAGCATTTTTTAGTTCCTTTTTATCTTTCTGCAATTTTGGCAGAATCTCAGAGTTAATTTGAGTGGAGTCACGGATGTTTGTTTTAGTGGAGCTCCCCTTCAACTCCTTCCCCAGATTTGACTACTCCTTATGGAGAAATGCCAAATTTGGAGGACACACACATTATAGCCAGCAGATGGCAGGACATTCATAAAAGGTAAATGTGCGTCTTTGTATGTGTTGCTACAAACGGCATCAGTATGTCCACGCTTGAGTCCTGCAGTAGGGGCCGCCAGAGCTGAACGGTTGTATTCCAACTCCAGCAGTCAGTCAGATCCAGCATCATGTTATAGCAGTAAGAAGAGGGGGCGTTCTCCAGCACAACACAGCAATAAAATGTGCAGTCATGGTACAGAGAGGAAGTGCTGCACTAATGCTGCATATTTGTTATAATCAATATTGGATTGTATCGTATAATGATGCACCACCAGATTAATGGCTTTCTGTGGGTTATTAATGAATTCATGGGTTTTGTTCTGAACTAAGACTTCTTATCTGAACTGTTGCTAGGCACAACAAACAGCATATGTAGGGGCCTGTTAGGTGGCTACAGGACTAATGAAGGTAAAAACTGCCCACAGTATTTGTGATGCTGACTATAACTACAGGACAATGAGGGAGGCTAGTTGCCAAATTTAAGATACAATGCAGTTTAGTTATATACTGCAACATGTTTGTACTAACATTTTTTATTGATCAATATACAACATTTTATCAATTAATAAAGAAAATTGATAAAACCTGGGCCACATATAATATCCCACACAAGTATCTGGCTCTACAAGCAGCTTACAAATGTTATAATTTGAATAAGCTGAAGCTGTACAAATCTTGATAGAGACAAAGGAGCATGACACATCATATTCCTACACTACTATTTACTATTGTGTTATAATGAGAAAATTAGCAATGCTAACGGTTCAGTTATTGTTTGACATGTTTGGCCACTGCTGATAAAGCGAGAGGCAGATCTCCTGTTCCCATGGTGATGAAGATGGTTTTGTAGTGGTCTCCTGAATACTATTTTTTACACACAAATCTTTTATCTATTTATACAACTAAATTTGTAGCACACATTAGTGTTGTACACATACAGAACCAACTTGTTCACAAACTTCCTTTGCCGACTTTGCCAGCAAAAACATGCGTGTCAGAAATAGGTGTAAAAAAGAAAAAAAAAGAAGAAGAAGAAAAAAAAGTAAAGTACTGTTGCTGTAATAAAATGTGTTCGACTTTGTAGATCAGAAAAGAAAACAACATTTAAGTCAAGACCAGAGGGGTGAAATACAACTGTTTTAATTGCAAAAGGATACCGGTTAATACATTGAATGAAGCACTGAAACAAGCCACTGTGACATTGCAAAATACCACTAAAAAAGGACGCTGTAAATTTCCAAGAAAAAAAAGTCATTCATTCGATCAGAAAGGCATACATATGAAAGAACAGGGAGCGTATTTACACCATGATAAAGTGTCCTGTAACTCTACAAAACAAGATGTGTTGGGAGGCTTCCCCATTCAAGACATTTAAAAATGTTTTACAAACAGCTGTTGACAAAGAACAAGCCTTCGATGTCCCATTTCATTTATTTTATCAAACAACAGTAATCTTAAAAAAAAAAAAAAAAAAAAAGGCACCACTGTGGGTGATGAATTCACACCATCCATCTTACATGGTGGCGGCCGGTTTACACAAGACAACCAACATTTTCTGTTCATGTTTAATATGCTGTAGCGCTGTAATAAGCTGTAGAAAAATCAAGGAAACAAGACCATTATTAGCATGTAAGGTTATACAGAACTGATAGCTTGAGAAAAATGACAACAAATGGGGCGTTTGTACAAAATGGTGGGTAAAGTGAGGTGTCCCTGCTGTTGGATTAGCTGATATTATTAGCCGTTGTGCTGGTGTGACAGCGCTCCCTGCAGGAGAAAGGTGTAGTTCACAGCACCAGATATTTTTGTAGCAGTGTGTCATGAGCGTTAAGTGGCTGATGAAAACAGCTATTCAAAGCTTATCCAGAGGGCGGACACCGGATCTCTCCTAAGACATACAACTTTCAGACGGTCACGTCATCACAAAGGAATAACTGCATGGAAATCTCAGTTTTAGTTCATTTCTTATCATGATATTGGGTATAAAAAGGCCATCCTCTACACAAAAGAAAAACTTTTTTTTTTTTTTAACTACTCTTTAATCCGAATGCATAGATGTTAATTTAAAAGATGCTACACGTGCAGCATTTTTACCACTTAATAAAAGCATTGAGAAATGAATTGTGGTCACGCATTGTAATGCTGGCAAGTAGACAGTAAAGTGTTTGTTGCCGTGATGAATAAGTAGCTCCCTGCTTTGTGCTTCAGTGTTTTCCAATTTAGAGATTCTCAGGTTTGATTCCCTGCAAAATCTGAGAAAACTCCTAGCATTTTTGTAAGACACATGATGCAAGTCATGACTACAGAAAAAGACATATTGCGATAGAAAGTTGCACACAGAGGCTTGAAAAAAGTACTAGTGTTTAGAGCTCGTGTGAGCAAGTTAAAACTAGAAAAGAAATCCTAGACAAGTACCCTTGATATAAATTAATAAACTTTATAAAATTTAAAACCCACACATGGATTTAGACAACCGTTATGTTTTCATCTCCCCTGTATCTGAGAACTATGCTGAGCCATGCAAAACAGGAGAAATCCCACTAAAGTTTAGAGCCCTGACAACGCCAATTGCCTCAGATGAGCATGATTTAATCTTGACCTTTTTCTGATGTGTTTAAAAAGTAACATGCATAAATCTCCAGACGTGTTTCCTCCAGAACATTTAAAGAATTTTACAACTAATAAAATTACATATTTTCCCCATTTCTATAATTCTTTATCTAAAATCATACTTTGGCTTTGAGACCTTTATTTATCTTTGAATTTCACACATTGAACGATAAAATGTCACCACTATTTGTGATGAAGAAGGGAAAGGGAATTATTTAGACTTAGTCAATAAAACTGTATACTGCATGTGTGTTGGTTTTTCTTCTCTTTTTTTTTTCTTTTTTTTTTTTTTTAAACAAGGGCCTAATTGTTTTTCCTTTGGTTGTTTTATGCATTGTTAGGTCCTTTCAATCAGCTTTTTACATGCCCAAAATTTCATAACCATTCACCAATATCATGCACTGCAGTTTGTGAAAATCTAAAACACAGAGGGTATATATATACCATGTATAGCCTACTGTCTATGTAGAGGGTCAAAATGGAGGAAACACCAACATAAAGATTTCCCATGAGGGCTATGTGAGATGCTTTTTCTCCGCCTTGTCTCAGATTGGACAAGATGAACGCCAATTACAGCATAAACATATGGATTTATGGTAGTTTAAATAGTATCATTTTACACAATTACGGTTTTATAATTTCTCATGTAGGGAACATGAATTGTCATCGAGGAGGTGTGGGCTTCCGACCAACAATCCTCTTCAGTCAGGAGCTGCATCCCACACATCCTCACCCTCTGTGGTGGGACTTCATTTTGGTTGCTTCTTTTACTTTGACCATACCCTGTATTATGTTGAGCAAATGTTAGACAGATATTGTAGTGACGTTATGGAAGCACAGCAATGGACATTGGGCAGAGATGTTATGATGGATAGCTATACACAGTATTTACAGCGGGTTAGAAAGACGTTCTCTGGCTTAGCAAACTTCCTCTGACGAGGAACCATTACCTTTCACACCATTTACCGTAGGGCAGGAGGACAGAGGGACATGGAGGAACGTCACAAATACAAGTGATACAAAAGTTGAGTCAGTTCTGACTAACACCCCTAAAAATGGCCATTTGCTGCTTGGAATTGTGTGACTGAAACATTGAAGTCAGAGTGAATCCTTCAACAAAATGTCTAAGACAGCTGAGAGAAGAAGCTTTTACACCATGAAATCTGTGGGTCAGTGAACTGTGTACCCTTTTAAAAAACAGTGGCTAACCTCCACATAGAAACATGTCTGAACATCAGTGAGCTGATTGTTACAAAGTGGTTGAAACTGATTTAAAAAAAGAAAAGGTGTTTGTGTTATTCTCAAGCAGCAAATGGTGTCATAGCCCTGGTGGCTAAGGCCTTAAAAAGAGACAAAGAGTGGTTCTCCTAGACAACAGGTGGCACTGTGAGTGAAGGTGGAAAGCAGCAGAGGTATAAAAACTTCTGTGTTTCAGGCCAAAAAAGGGAGGCAGGCTGCAGGAGGAGAGTCTACATGGATTCGCCGAGAGAATCATCATCATCCAGAGATAAGGGCAGGTAGAGATCCTGGAGAAACAGCAGAGCAAAATCACAGTCAAGAGCAAAAAAAAAAAAGACTGATTTGGAGAAAAACAGGGCAACAAGATGAAAGGGCAGGAGAAGGAGAGATGTCCGGGTACCTTCTGCTTGTTGTTCAGGCCTGGACTGGTGGGGGTGGAGGTAGGGGAATGCTTGGAAATCGGGGTGGAGAGCTGGCTGCTGGAGCCCGTCCCATTGGCTGAGAGAGCCCCACAGAACAGAGAAGAGAGGGGAGAAGAAAAGAGGGAGTGATGGGGGGGAGGAGGAGGGAAAGAGGTAAGCAGAGTAGTGGATTAGAAAGTGTACGAGAGAAGCCTGGACCTCTTTCCTTGGCTGAGGAGAAAAGTCATTCCTGAACTGTGGCCTCATTTGGCGACAGTGTAGAGGGACGCTGTCTACAAGCTCTGTGTTTGTTAGATGACATTTTATTCACTCACTGTGCGTCCTGCCACGTTGCTAGGATTCCCTCTGTGTGGAACATTGTGTTTATATCTGAGAGCGGTGCGATGTGATGTAGCTGTGTGTTTTAAGTGCTTTAAAAAGAGTTTTTGTCTGCAAGAGATGAAAAGAATTTAAAAAGGACTATGAGCCAGATGGCCAGTGTAAATTTGAGCCAATGAGTGTTGAAAATGCGACGCGGATAAAGCTTTATTGTTAACCAACTTAATGCCACTGGCTTCATTTAACCACTCCACCAGATAAACAGACTTACAAATGTAGATTTAACAAGTGGTTTAAACACTTTAAAGGACAAACCCACCCCCCCACCCCCACCCCCCAAAAAAAACAGGAAAATTACACATCCTATTATCTTGGGATCTTAAAATCAGTACATCTAAACATGAGCAGCTCTCCCACATTTACTGAACAGAGCAGCTGTTTCATTCAGAGGCCAAACCTTTTCTATGTGCATCAGCAAAGTTGCCCACACTGTCTAGGTGGTCTTGTCTTTAGATTTCTACATTTGAGAGATTCATTCATCACCTCTGTAGAAAATTCACCCCAGCACAGTGATGTTGAATTGGAGATCACTGTGTTTCATCATGGGCTTTCATCCCAGGACCCTGCCGAACACACTTTCAATACATTCAACTCATTAAACCCGATGCACCCTCAGACAAGTTGTTTTTGTTTTGTTTTTTGTTTGGAGGTGCCAGACGCTGAAGAGAGAGCTGGTAAACAGTCTGACTGCTCCCTAAACCAGACGTATATTTGAGACTGACTGAGCACACAGGAGAACGAGAGCCTGCGGTTCAAGGCACATGCGCACCTATTGTTGACCCGCTGGCCAATAAAAAGCCAACAGCTCAACAATACCAGCTGTTGACCAATTAGAGGCAAGAGAAGCATTCAGAGACAGATGGCAATATACAGTACTTTATAGTTTTTCATGTTCCAGTAGAATTTTACAGTGAAGTGCCTTAGATAGGGAGAATATAAAAGTATACATATTATCTGGCAGCTCCCTGAACCTGCCAAAATATCTCTGTTTAAAGCAACCCCAATATTAACTAAAGGAATCATTTTTTTTTGTCATATTGTGCATGTCCTGTGTAGATATCCTTAAATTCATGCCAGGAAAGGTTTAAACTGAATATGAACAAGCACTAAATGGATGAATATATTTGGCTTTATACAGATGTTTAATTTATACGTTAATGCATAACCATGACAAAGAAGTTTCACAAATCTTAGAGGAGCCATGCCATCCCCCGAATCATCACTTTCATCTTCTACCTTCAGGGAGACGGCACAGAGTCTCCTGTGCAAAGAAAAATATCTATTAAAAAAATCATACATCAGTTAAACTGGTAATTAATGGACATGTCAGTATTGTTCTGAATCCTCCCCCCCTGCGGGCACTTCACTTCTTAAATTTGTCTAAAATTATTTTAAATTATTTAAAATTCCTTTTAGTAATTAATCCCTTTTTACAAAGTTACATCCAATTAGTGTGTTTAAATGTTTTTACTTATTGTTAATGTGATGTATGATATAATATCTGATGACTGTAATTTCATCTGATTATCATGCAAGCTGAAGATGGATTACTCCTTCCGCTTTGATTTTTTTTTTTTTTTTTTTTTTTTTTAAACTAAAGATCCAAAAAGATTGATTTCAGCCTCACACAGACCCATTTTTATTTTTATTCTTTAGTACTAATCCCAGTTAAAATGGACAAGTCACATACGTTTCCTTTGCAACGACCTCATTATCTCTCTGCTGACCTCTCAGGTCCTACAGAGGTGGTTAATGCTCAACACTTTACTGCCCGTCCAGCATGTTGGTCAACCATCTGCTGTCTTAAAGGCCAGGCATCCCCCCCATCACTGATCAATAAACTATTCAAGACCACTGAAGGACCGAAGGAACCTGCAGAGCTGGCCAGCACAATGTCCCCACCCCACCCCTTCTCATCACATAAAGTGGCGTGAAACATGAGGCAAGGACTACCTGCTGCTACCAGGCTGCCAGCTGTGAGAGCATCATCTCTCTGCGTTTACCTTACAGGGGATTTAACAGCTAAACTGTTCTGTTCTGCCACTGCTGGGGAGACACTGTCACTGTCCCTCATACTTAAATGGGTTTAAAAGAAAAAAAAAAAAAAAAAACATGCAGCAAAACCTCTACGTGGTTGTGCCATCATGGTACATAGCAATAACCAGCTTTTTTTTTTTCATGCCGGCACTGGATTAGATTTCATGGCACCAACTGTTCAGCCAAGTTACGGTGCAGCTACTATATAAACTCAGAAAGCATTGTAGCAGAGAGGTATAGCAGTGTTAAAAGCTGTTGTTAACATTAAAGATTCAAGCATGAGTAGGCACCAGTGTCTCCATTATGCTCTGTTGCCTACTGGATATTATTAAATGTTAAAATCCCTGATTGTGAAACAAACTGCTAAAGGCTATTTACACTGTCTTTATTTACTTTTCATGTTTTATTCATGGTTTAAAAAAAATAAAATAAAAAAGAATCTGCATTAGCAACATTACACTAAATCTCATCAGATTACCCTCAATACACAAAGGCTGGATTTTTACTGTCCCCATTCTCATGGAGGGTTTTTATGGGGTGCTGTAGTGAGATTAAGGAGTTGATGTCTTTTGGACCACCCAGTAAAAACAATGCGACTCCAGCTCTCTAAGCAAAAAGCCTGACAACACAGAGAGGAACCACAATTTTATGTCCCTCTATGCAAATTCCAAACAAAAATGGAGATTATAGTTGAATAAAAGGGAAAAAAAACTAATTTTCTCTCATTACCATCTCTGAAATTTGCTTATTGGGAAGATCATTGATTGGTATTTGTACACAAACACAATCGATCATGAAGGAGAAATCTATCATTATGCCAATTATTCTCTAGATCAGAGTAAGGTCAGAGGTCAAGGCCAGCTACAGACTAGCACCACTGGATTTGGTTGGGATTTAGTGTCTTCCACCACAACCCCAGGAGCTGATCACTACATCACCTTGCTGTCATATTTTATGTTGTATTTGAGTTCAGTTCCTGCATCAGCATTAGCCTAGTTCCATTTTCCAGCAGCACTTTGTTTTGATTCATAGAACAAGGTGGGGTCAGGTTCTGCTCTACTTTAAAAACAGGAAGAGTTACAGTGTAGGTGATGTAATAATGGGCTCACTCGATTCAGCAGGAGACTTGCTGCGCTTGATCGGACCAGGACTCTTTACTGAACCACGTGGAGTTTTGGGTCCCTTCATCACCCTGCACTCTGTGGAAAGAAAAAGCACAAAGAAAGTTAGAGATCATCACTTTTATCCCCCAAACCCAATGAGTGAGCAACATCTGCTCCTGTTCAGTAGTGCAGCTCTCTCCAAAACATGAGTTTAAAGTTAATCGCAATGTCTGAAAAGAAAACTAGTCAAAGCTCTACCTTTGGATAAACAGGCCAGTCAAATAAGATTTCCAACCGATGCTGTCCTGATAATGTAAAATACGTTAACATGTGGAAAGGTGTGTGCATACTTGGTGCAATAATAGAAATTTTGTTTTAACAAAATGAATGATGACACACTGATTTGTCATGATGACTGGTGGAAATAAAATGTAATACAAGAAGATGGTGAAACAACTAATGCATTGATCTCATCACAGCCTCAGTATTTTTCCAGTTCTGATAAACCAGGGAGGCTGGTCCTGAGCCGATGTGAAGTTCATTTTAATGTATTAAATGAACTGCTTTGATTCTTGCCTACGTTTTTAAAATTGTCATTTTATAAATCATTTTATTCATTTAATCAATTTTAACAAAAAATAAATAGCTTTAATGGTCTGATTACAACAGTATTATGTAGTTCCCTTGTTCCCTTTTGGGTTTTAGGAACAAGCAATGCATGAATACACACCCAGTTTTGTGTGACCCCACAGCACAAGTTGACAGAAAAAAAACAGCACAAATACAACATGAAATGACATGTAGGAACAGTTTTTTGCAGAATATCACCTCTTTTTTTTTGGTCTACATCACTTCACTTTAAAGTGTTAAATTTGCTGAGGCAAGACAATTAGCAGCTTTCACATGCATTTTAACAAATGTGTCCATACCACCAAGAAACAAAAAGTACTAAGAAGGGGGCATTAAATGTCTCGTCAGATTTATCATCTCATTATGTTTCCTTTGATCAGATAGTTCCTGATTTAAATTGAAATCTTGGAAATTTTAGATTTCTTGTATGGATGAGCATGACAACATTTAACATTTAAGGGTTTGGCTTCCTTTGTTAAATGGAAAAAATGGTTTTGTAGAAAAACATGTTTTTTTAATCCTTAAGTATCATCACAGTAACATATTGGTATTAGTACAGAAACTCAGGTACTGAAAATGGTTTCCAATAAACATAGTTTGATCTTGATATTCCTGGATCCACTAGTGATCTCTGTTGCTTTTAAATTCATGTACTGTACATGTATAGCAATGAGCACCTATATAAAATCATAGAAAAATGCATCCAGTATATTCTGGGTCATTGTATTAATCAGGGTAGACAGACTCCAGACACTGCTACTCCTCCCTTCTGCATCTTCCTCTCTGTTTGTACTGTCAGGCTCCCTCTTTCCTCCCCCTCCCTCCTCTTTTCCACTTTTGATGCTAATTATACTATCTGTCCTCCCTCCGTCTCCTGGGATCGCACCACGTCTGTCTCCTCTCTCTTAACCTTCACACACTACTGGATACAGGCGTACATTCATGTGCTATTGTTTGCAAGGTGTGCCACCACGCCTTTGACAGTACTTCAGACTGGCAGCTTGTCTAGTCTACTCAGTGGTCTCAAAAAAGCCCCTCGAGCCTATCTACACAGATTCTCTCTCAGCTTCAACTAACTCCGTCTCCGCGCAAACAGAGTTGCAGGTACACATGTCTGCACGTCCATCTGTATAGTCTTGTATTTAACATGAGGAGTGTGAAAAATAACCACAGGGGATTTCAAGCTATTTTGGTAATTCTGCCAAACCAAGCTTAAAAGCAGCACCAGTGGAAAAAAGAAAAAGAAAAGAGAAAAACATATGCAAAGTTTACCTCCGGTAACACAGAACATTTTATTACATGATCACTGATTTTTTTCATATACAGAATCTGGACTGTTATCATTCATCATATTATCTGAATTGCTTTCCAAAGCATCAGGATTTGACCAGACATCCTCCACAGTGACGAGTGTTATGGATACACAAGTAATGTAATGTGATGTATTACAGACAGGGCTTTCTCCGCCTCTGCTCCACTGAGGCCAACTCACTCAGTGATGTCTGGATGCTCGAGACTCTCAGCCATTTTATTTAGCATTGCCCCGAGGTTATTATAGACTAAATGAAACAATTTAGCTTTGGTTCCATGGGGGAGGTATGCTGAGAGGAAAAGGACCCAGATCATTATAAGTGACCTGGCATCGCCATCCTACCGCGATCTGACAAGGAAAAGAGGGGAAGAGAAGGGATGAGGGGAACATGATGACAAATCAGGCCTGTACTGTATCAGTGCTGTGTTGAGATTAAAAGACATTTATACGATACTGAATGTATCGAGGTGGGACATTAGGTGGAAGTGGGTTGTTAAAAATAGGGTTTTCAGGTCTGTGGAGAGCAGAGAGACTCAGCGAGAGGATTGGTTTCGCATTTTCTCTCCTTGACTTCTCGGCAGTATCAGCACCAACAGATCACTGGCCTAAACCTGTCACCGGACAGATTAATGGCTCTTCTTCTCTACCTTTTCCTCTCCCTGCTGCCTGCCGCTGATAACAGACTCTCCCTCTTTGTTGGCTTCCCTTTCACAAACATAATTTTTCTCCTTACTATGAACAAGCACACAGTATTACGCATGTGAAAATAACATCTTTTACAGAAAAAGTCCATTTGGATACCTTTAAAGAGACCCTAATGGGACACTGGTATATTAAATGACACCGCAGGGACTTTGGTGTATCTGGGCATTTTCATTGTGTATATATATATAAACACACACAATACATGATACATTTTATGTGCTAAAGTGCAATGCTGGAAACCAGGAGCAGTATGCAAGAAACAGGTTTATTTTTCCCTATATTAAATATCAAACTATCACATCCATCTCACATTATTATGCTTATCAAAGAGATGAGATGGGATTTCAGAGTAAGAAAGTCTCTGTAATCATAATACAGAGTCAAAAATATTTGGAAAACTAACCCTCTGTGACTGCACAAATTTAAATCTCATGACACATAAAACTATTACACTAATATATAAATTGAATTCGCAGTACAGCGCATTTTGCACTGCCAGTGATTTAAAAACTCAAAGCATGAGCCAAAACAACAATAACGTCAACTTCAAACAAAGACAAGACATATATGGACAAAACTGCATCAGATTACTATTCAATAAAATGGTTAACTTTTTGACATAATATACATCTTAATATGCTTCTTCAAATTAAAATGAAAACATAAATGTAATTTGCTGCCATGTGTTTCATTAATGTTTTCGCTGCTTGATTGATAATTATAAAGCTCACCCACTATGTTTACCATGGTTTTACAAGTACATTGCACGAAGACGTGCAGTTCACAACTACAAAATAATAAGTTTAATGTACAGTGAATATACTTTTACTCGCCTTTGCTTGCTGTATTACATGATGTAAAATACAGACTGAAGCTGTATCTCTCACCGTTCTCATCCAGAGAGAAGTCATCCTGGGCATAGCGGAATTTCTCTGGTCCACACGCAATGAAGACATCGTCATCACCAAAGAAATCTTGAAGGCAGGTAACCTGTGAAGCCAGAAGACAGAATTCCTGAGACCCTTGATAATCTGGCATCAACTGGTATCATAACAAGACGGCGAGTCTACACCATAGCAGTGCTTTGAGCTAACATCAGCATGTGAATATGCTCACAATGACAATGCTAACATGCTGATGCTATAAGTAACTAAGCAAGTTTAACACCTTCACCACTTTAGTTTTGTGCGTTAGCATATTAAGATAAGCAGTACACACAGAGTACGACTGAGGCTGGTGGGAAAGTCATTACAAATGAATGTTTTGACCTGATGATGGTACTAGATGAATATTAAGGGATCAAAGTTCATCCGGAGGAGAACATGGAGAATTTCATGGCAACACCAACACCATGGATGTTGTGGGACTAGGGAAGAAATCAGAGGATCACCAAAGCCATTGGTGGTCCCCTGATGAGGGCCAATTACAATCCTGCAAATAGTCATTGACTCTGAACCGATGCGATTGACTGACCGTCAGGCCGACACTGCTGTCCCTATAGCCACGTCGCTAACAGGGCTAACAATGTCAGTATTAAATGCTAACCAGTGACTCTCCACTTCTCACTGAGAGAGTTACAGAAACCAAGAGAGTGCAATTGCTAAGAAGGAATTATCTGTTCATATCCATCTGATTATATTCCTGTTATTATTCATAGTTTAATGAAGTGCATTGGAAATGCTGATTCAGGACAAATTAAAAAATATTACCCGTACAGACATTTACAGCATGAAGCACAGGCAATAGCTGCAAAGAGGAAGCACTCACCATGATGTACTCACAGAAATGAAAGTGTTAAATGCGGATTACGTTTAATTTTTTTTCTTTTTCTTTTTTTTTTAAAGAAAAGAGGATGAACTCTGTAAACAAACTGAGTAACTGTAAGGATTTAGTCAGCTTCAGGTGGTAGGGTTAGGCCTCTGTCTTTTACTTGTCATGTTAACATGTTTAGCTACAGTAGGTGCATGTAACCAAACACAAACACATAAAAAAGCCCAAACAGAGAGGATAATGTTACACCTTTGCTGTAATGTTTAAATGATTCAACTTCTTTCCCTTAGGACATTTCACTCTATAGCAGCTGTTGACACAATATGGCCTACTTAGTGGACAGATGTCTTTGGGCCACACCTTCTCCTCTGCTCTCCATTATACAAGCCCCGTTACCAGCTCAGGCACGCCTATTAAAGCCATTCAAGCTAAAAGCTGTGTTTCCCCTTGGCTGTGGTTTTTTTTTTTTTTTTTTTTTCCTTCCTGGTGCAGATGAGATTTGTTACAAAGCATCTCAGTCTCATTTTCAGTTTGCCTTTCAACACCTGTTAAAACCTCTAATTTCTCCCTTGAATTAATGGATCAAGACATGTGAGTGAAATGAACTACAGATGACTGGCTCCATCTTTTCTAAGCAGGCCTAATTGTTGGGCTTTTTTATTTATTTTTTTTATTTTCTAAAAACACAGACTCTCACAGACTGAAAGTTTCTCTGAGGGGCCCCGAAAGATTATCCTCTGTTGGGACGTTCGCCAGGATAGTCAAGATGCATCATGGTTTCCTTTGTGATACACATCCAAACTATGAGCTGCAGATAATTTGGGACCACCCCACCCCTGCAGCTGCCATGTTGGTTCTCTGTCCAGCTAGACAAGCTAAAAGTGTGCGGTGGTGACTCGGTGGCGTGGCATCCAACAGCTGTACCCTCTCTGTGTCCCACAAGATTCCCTGGATACAGGCCTGGCAGATCCCAGCTGAGATACAGAGATGGTGTTTTGACTCCAGGGATCAAAATCTAATTGGTTTTTCAGCCAGGGCTGATTTACAAGCTGCACTTTTGGGTTTTCTTCTGTGTTCATTATCAAGAGATTAGATACATGTTACTTTCATTAGGTTAAACTGTTGTGAGGCAACAAGGGCACCTGACAGTTAATCATAAGATGGAAGCATTAGGAAGGGCTCCTTTTCCCCCCAAGGCCAGCAAGAGGAGGAAATGGGCTAGAATGGGATGAGAGGGTAGAGACGAGTCCCTCTTTTAATAGCTTTAAGAATAGAGCTGATTAAAGGGATAAAATGTTTATCCAACAGACTGCTACCTTAATCTCTCTTAACAGAATCGCCATTAGAAATGAAGATTCGGTTCTCTCTGTTGGTTTCTGATTGCTGAACAGGCAGCACCATTTTATCTCCTAACAGTCAATGTGTGTACGCATTGACCTAAGAGGGGATTCAATATAACTACCCCAAAACAAAGAGGTTGCACATTAAAAATTATCATAAAATACAGATTTGAAAAAACTTGGTATATTATTTGCTTTCAAACCCCATCATTTTTTTTCTCTCTCACATCTGGGACCGAAACCGAAGGAAAACTCCAACTCTGACCTGTACTGTAAGTTTAGGTGTCTCTGGCTCAGCAGATTTGACAGCAAGAAATTACTTTTTTCTTACTTAGCATTGCTCCTGAACCAAGATATTATTACAATGCAATATCTCAGAAACTTTTATAGGCATGATGACATGGTAAAAAAAAAAAAACCTGGGTTCATTCCCATTTACAAGAAAGCCTCCATCCTTCTCATGAGTCCTTAGCAAAAACACTGAATCCTATTTAGAAGTCCTCTTTATCCAGCTCCCTACAGGGATCGCTTGAGATCCACATTATCTGTACAGTCCTCTTTGCATTATCAAGCCCACAAATATACTATAATATAGGAATATACTATAATGTAAAAAAGTTCATATACAGTGGGTTTCAAATGTCCTGCAAACAATCCAACAATCACCCAAACCTGGGCTGCATGTGGACAACCTTCTGATTAACATTAAAATCATCATCAGGTATTATTTTTCCTTCCATGTCGGATGCCTCTCATGGATAAATGGTTACTGTAACCTCCAGTGAATTTTGACATCTGTCAACAGTTGACAGAAATACTGTGGAAAACCGCTTTGCTTTGCATCCAATCAGACCGCAAGGAAAATGTCAGAGTCTCTTTGAAACATGGCTGCAGTGAAGAAAGGGCAGACCAGCTTGGGAACATTTGGATATAGGTTAAGAAGCATCCTCTCTCAATTTGAAAAGGTCAGTCAGCCACATCAACCACAGCCACCTGGCAACAGTATCTAGGAGAACGACAATACGAGATGACAGGATGGCATTCGACTTCAAGACTACCAGAAGCCCTGGTATATTGCATATTTACATACTGCACATGCAATGCACGTGCATTAGAGTCAGTGTGTATATATTTATTTATGTCTTTATGGAAGAAGGCGAAAGGGCTTTTCTGAAAAAACTGGCTCCTTCCAGACTCCAGGTGCCCCCCCACCCCACCCCACCCCCCCACCCTCTGTCCCAACAAGCCCATCCCTAATCTCTGCCTCACCAGCTGTCAGGACCACATGACCCCCCAAAAACCACCAACACCACCAGCAGCTACGCAGGGATCCACCAACTACAGTAACTAAATTATTTAGAGTTCCTCTGGACCGACTGACCACTCTTGGACAAGCCGCAGGCGTTTCATTAGGTGATGGTGGTCACGTGGTAAATATAGAAATTGAGGTGTAATTCTGCTCCTCTACTTGAGACGGAAGTGGATCATAAGTTAGTGCAGTTTCTATAGTTTGTCTCTGTGCTGCCTAATCAAATATTTTTTCTTCTTTTCATATCACAAATAAGATAGCAGAGAGTTAATATGTCACTGTAAATGAGAAAACCCTTAGGTCATTCGAACCAGAGCCACAGTTTGAAAAATGACATTATAATTATAAATCATTATAATCTGGTGCTGAGCGACATCTCAAAAATTTCTGTCTAATATATACAAGGATATATATTTTTGTGTAAGCAAGGTGCAACTAAAATGTTTTTTTTTTTGCTGCTTTTGTTTGAAGCAACACCTTCAAACAAAGCTCATGTGTCTTTTGTGTTGTCTTCACTTCAGCTCATCCTTTCAGCATCATGAGTGACTGATGAGTCCTAAGGTCCATTATCTCCCCGACTCCACACTGACATGTTAATTGATCTCTGTGCAGAAGTAAAGCTATTCAGTGTTGCATTACGCCGTTTAGACTCCCTGTCCTGACCTGGGTGGCTCATCTCATCTGTGTTTATCTGACGGACAGTAAAAGGTTTACCACCAGTGTAAATGAGTCAGCAAATGGCCAGCCAGTAAATTTAAATATAGCTAAAAAATAATAATCTGCTCTGCCCTGAAAAACACCCATAGAGGAGTGATCTCAGATCAGTTTATGAGAGAGTTTCGTTTTACCTCCACACAAATCAGCTGGAAATGCTACTGTACTGTACTACTGTTTAAAACAAAATAGGTAGGTTTTAGTGGTGGTGCACACTGCAGCATTTTTTTGTGACTGTGCTTTCTGTATGTTAGCAGAGGATATGACGATAGCTGTAAGGCTGAGTGCGGTGCATTCAACTAAAGCTCGAGTGAAGGTAGCACAGCAAAAAAAAAAAAGAAAAGAAAAAAGACAAAAAAGATATCTCACAGTGAGCAAATTAGTTTTCATTAAACATCATATTGTGTCTCTGAGCTATGTGAGAGGAAAGTGATGTATAAAAAAAGATGAAGGCTGAAAAAGAGCCAGTAAGACCTTGCTTTGCAACCCATGGGGAAACTCCCACACGATTTCCTTCACTGTAGGCACAGAGACCTGATCAATATCAGCGCCTCTGCACCGAGTGGAATATTCCTCCAAAACGCACACACAGTGTCTCCATTTTGTCCGATCAGTGTTTCACAGACAGTACAATGTATTTTTTTTTTAAAAAAACGGAGAAAGAATAATTGCTGAAGAAAAATCAAATGCAGTGAATCAAAATATAAAGGAAGCCCATATTTGGGCATCAGAAATCACTTCACAGAGCTGTGCCCCATGATTTTTATAGCCATTTGCCTTTTTGACCTCACTGTGACCTTGGTGCACCAGCACAGTGTCTGTGTGCTACTGTAGGTGCTCCGGATACATTTGGAGCACAGATGAGACAGTTAGGCAGAGATATCTGCACAGTCATGGGGACCAGCTGGTGCCTGATGTTGTTTTAACCCCACCCCTCCCCAACCCCGAGGAAGCAGGCTTTCCATTTGGCTGACTGATGTGGCCTTAGCATTATTAAATTGCGCTTCCTCCTCTTCCCCCCCTGGGGTCATGCTCACTTGTTGATGTGGTGCTCCTGCAGGAACGAAGCGGCTGTGTGAGGGGATTCAGGCACAGAGGATGCAGACAGGCTTCCATGCTTCATCACTGGGACCACACCCCTCTATCAGCCCGATCGTCTACCTCTGTTGAACACTGCGCGTGAACGCATGTGGGCGTGCATGTGCGAATGAAATGTGGCTGTGGTGAGCCGTGTTGACGGGTGAGGAACAGAGAGCAGGCAGGTAAGACCCAACGTAAAGAGCACACTCAGCGTATTACAGCCATTGTCACAAACTGAATCCATCACAGCGGAGCTTATTGCCATGACAACTGCTTCTGCAGCATGGCAAAGAACAGGCAGACTGCAAGAGCACTGATAACCAGGCTTTTCTTCCCCATTAGCGGATATATTTTAGTCGTTAAGAAGCCCTGAACCCATGCCTGCATCCATCTCCTGTTCAGTGAATAATTTCTTACCACGAGCTATTAACTTTTAAAGTGAATTGGAATCTTTTGTTCTCTGACAATAACAGTGTGACCTTGTGCCTGAAGCATGCCTGAAGCATCCGTTTCTTTCTTCTTGTTGACAAATTTTTTAATTTTAAAAAAAGACTGAACTGAAAACCTTAATTCTAAACCAGGTCAGAATAATGGGAGCCCCCTGCAATCCCGAGGACATGTCAAGATAATTCATAAGGACAAATGGTACAGCAACACAATGTGCCATAGATATATTTCACAAATGATATTTGGATTTGGCCTCCATTAGACAAAAACCTTCCCAAAGAGAAATTCAGATGAACAAGTAGTGGATCTTAAATGCAAATCAGAACTATTCTTCTATGCAGACACCTCTATCAAAGAGGAATGAATACAAAATGGCTGCCGGCAATTAAATAAACGCTCTCTGATTTTTAATGTAGCCTTTAAAAGCAGTGAGGGCAAATCAAAAACTGTACTTTTTTTGTTAGGCACGGGGAATAATTACTCCCCATCAGCGAAAATAATATGATCCTAATTTGCTCTAAGAATGGAAAATGACTCCTGAATCCACTGGCCCCACCCTTCGTGGTTGAAGTGAAAAGCACCAGCATTTGAGGGGAAAATGGGAGTGATTTTGTTCACAACAGTGACAAAGAGAGAGAGAGAGGAGGGCAGCCTGTCTTTAGAGTCTACACGGCACTAAGCAAAAGAGGAGAATCAAGCATGAAAAGTGGCCATTTTAAAAATGCTAGAAAACACAACCTGAACCACCTTTTAGTCAATCACAAATGAATCTTTCAGACCTATTCACACCCCCACACGCTACAGTATAGTCCATCATGGTTCTGATTCACACCCAATGATGGAAAGTATACAGGTAAAAAGAAAAAAAAAAACAAACAAAAAAAAAAAGACGTGTTTTTTAAAACCAAAAGGCTTGCATTGATAGTAAACTCTCACACCCACTACAGGATGTGGTATCTGACAGACCAGTCCACACCAGCTGGGCTCTCTTTGTGCCTGGGATGTGGTCTCCTAGCAACCAGTCCCAGCAGCTATCGCAATGGAATGGGAAGAGGAGGATCAGCGCAGAGTCAGGGAGGGGCGGGCACTGCATCAATATTGCTTCTACCATATCACCTCGACCACAGAGCAGCTGCAGTGTGCCTCTGCACACAAAGACACTGCAATAATGTGTGCAGCATTTCTGTGCATTGCAATAAAACTGGGAGTCCCAAGCATGAGTCGGAGATCAATGGACACTAATTATGATATAATTAATCTATATCTATAGTGATGACAACAGGATCAATATGCTCTGATTGGGATAGCTACCATATGGCGGCTATTAAATTCATTTTGTGGAAAGACATCATCATTAAAAATGCATAGCGTGGCAAGAGATTCTTGATGATCAAACCCAACCACAGCCCAACCACAAAGATAAATACACAAAAATATAACAACAACTGCAATATCCCGTAAGGTGAAGACGATCTCCAAACATCTTAGCAAGTGTTTCTGTAGGAAAAAAGCAGCGCGAGACCTGGGGCTGCCAGACTGCACCCCTGGGAGAGCGCATTAAAATCAAATTCCCCCATCTATCATTTCAGCGCACCGCCCCTCCTCCAAAACACATGTGAGTTGGGCCTTATTAATACAGGAGAAAAAAGAAGTACAACACCTAAAGGAGCTCAGCAGGGCTCGATCCTCAGTCCATCTGTAATGAATAATACAGGAAAAAAGGTCCCCACATGAGGATTAGTGAACATTTAACCGTATCAAAGAAAAGGACTGAGGAACAGATGTCCACATGCATATCCACACATGCTTTCACACTGGCTCCTCGTCCACGCTGCGGTTCACAATAATCTTGAAAGCGCATGTATTTGACCTACGCTGCAAATTACAGCTGTGAGTTTTTGACTGATCTTTTTAGATCTATCTGCAAGACACATCTTCATCGTGGTTGCTGAATGGTTTTTTTTTTAGTCAAAAGGTCACTTCCTACTGCACAGAACACTGCACCCATATCCAAACTTGTTTGTTGGACCACACCACCCATTCGTTTTATTTATAACTTTACAAATTAGCGCGCACACACACACACACACACACACACACACACACACACACACACACACATCACGATACAAAGGAGAACTAGACCGGTCATCTCACAGACCTTTCCACAACCTTCCAGGTGGTGACCCTGCATGGTGGCTGTGGTTGTTCCTCAAGATTGCTCCACTAAAGCGCAAACATGAATAAAACATCATGTCCTTTTAGCTGAGCCCATGTGTTGAGCAAACAATGGTCTTCCCCTGGGAGTGACTTTTAGCCAGAGTTAAAGCATGTTGTGTGCCTCATACAGATTGTTTGATTAGCTTTCACCATTCTTGTGCTTTTTTCCCCCACTGACGGTCGTTTCCCGATTCCATTCAACATATTACTTCTATATATTCTGCTTGTCTGCATTGGAGGTACTACCCTGTACCAGAAATGAATACACTTTATTATAAATCAGTAGTGTGGAATTGAGGCACAGCTTTTTTGTGCGACTGTTGCCAAGACAACCATCTAACACATTCTTTCCAATCCGCTCTTGATTGTGTTAAAAGCAAAACATGTGAGCGCATTTTCCGGCCTTTTCAGTGAAAGGCGAGTGGCTCCAGATTCGCTGAAGCTTTGCACCTCAAAACTGGACTTATGTCAGAGTCAAAGAGAAAGTTATGAAATTATGTAGGCAATAAAAATATAGGCTATTCTGCTGATTGAACTTGGCAGGTAAGCAAATTAGGGTAGCAATAACTAACCAACTAGGGTAGACTCAGTTAGCCATTAAAGAAAACACAGATTAGGATGCGTGTTTCAATATTTCTTGTAAAATAAAGAATGTTGGATGTGCAGCTTAAATGTTGACAATTGGCAGTGTGATAACAAGGTCAATATGCAATTTTTGTATATGAAATCAATGATTTTTTTTTAATTCGGGAGACACCATATTACCTTTACTCTCACACAACAGAGGTTTGATGTCATTTACTGCCCACAGCCAGCCACTGGAAACATTTCTCTGCAGGGTCTCCTCATGGGGATTCCTGTGCCCTGATTTCTGTTTGACCTACAATAGCCAAAGGATCCCATAACTGAACACCAGACAGCAGTCAAGGTCGCTCAGGACACTTTATTCTGTGGCTTCTGTTACATGGAACCAGACATGTCTGTATTTTGAACATCAACAATTACAGCATCATCTCACATAGGGAGCTGATGCTGAGAATCCAGACGTGCCAGGCTGACTGTCTGATGATAGGAAGCTGATCCTTCTTTCAAAAATGTTTTACCCTCAACCTTGGAGGGGCTCAGAAAACTGCAAGTTCGCAGAGTAAATTAAGTTTCGTTGACAATGGTTCCGATGTGTATGTTAACAAAGGTTTTCTAAACCCCTACTCTCAGTGTTTTACTAAACTACCAGCAGGCCCCATCCCAAATACAGCAACAAAAGGGGACAAAACGATCAAACCCAACAATACAGGGCTTGGCCCTTTGTGCACGACCATAGAGGGTGGAAGACAGAACTTCCCAGGACTTTTGAGCTTTTCAATCACAGATGCACTCAGAAATGTCAGTGGCCTAAATACTAACCACATAACAAAAGGTGGGCAGGATACAAATGACCTGAACCACAAGACAGGAGAGTATGTTGTGTCAGACTGAAAGTCAGAATAAAGACTGTAGACAATGAAGGTCATTGTGCACACAGGTTGTTCTCATGGATGTTTCATGGTTCTCATGGACCTGCTGTGTCATTGTTGACGGAGGGTAGGACACGACAATAACGTTCTGTCCAGTAGCAGCTGCTTTAGTTTCTTTTTTTTGCATTTCTATGCAAATAATTTGGTTTCCTGATTTCCTTTAATCCTAATGATACCTGCCTGGGTGTAGCTTATGAATGACAAATTGTCCTCAATCCACACCACAAATTTTCCTATCGTGTAGCTTTGCTTGAATAATGTACTATATCACCTTTATTCCAGTTCTTCTAGAACAGAGGCCCCTATAATGCATTCAGCAGAAAACCATCAACAGCTTGGTACATTTGAATTTTAGATGGTTAGAGTTTTTCATATGCATATTGTGACCCAGTTAACTAAGGTCTGCGGCTATGATCGAATGTCTTTTACCTGGGGGCGTGATGTGTTCAGGCCTTTGGCTGAAAGCCAGACATACCTGCTTGCCGTCAAGTGTGTAGATCCTCTTGACCACGCCACTTTCAAGTTTAATGGCCTCTGTGATGTCAGTGAGGACCTGCTCGAAGGAGTGCGCCGTTTTCTTGTTGAGCAGGACGCGCACAGCTTTGCGTGGCTTCACACCACTGCGCATCACGGTCACAAGTTTGGGTCGAACAAAGTCCTTGGTCTCTCTGGGCTCGTTCGCGGCCTTGGCAGCTAAGGACTGCATGTTCTTCTGGCTTGCTGAGGCCTTTACATTCACGGACCAGTTGGGGTTGACATTCTTTGTGTAGTCGACCTTCTTGTAGAAGTTCTCTGATGCACAAACGTAGCTTTCCCCTGTGACGGTAAAAAAAAAGAAATTGGGTTAGTAACACATTCAGCTATTCAACTTCGACACCTGAGAGTCCCAGAGGTCTCCACTCGGAAACATCTGAACCTGGAGGAAGTCAAACTGTGAGATGTCAAGACCAGTGGGAGGAATTACCTCTAGTACTCCCCCTCTCAGATTTCATCTCAAATCGATCCAATATCACAGCTAAAAACCATTTTACTTTGTTGAAGAATACAGTACATACTGTAGATGCTGTCAGTATTGTTTGCCGACATTGCTCAGAATGAAAATGGTTCATGGTTACGCGATGCTTTGAGTAAGCAGATTCTGGAAAGACATGTTGCGCTCAAGGTTTTTTCATATGTTTTTGATCCTTTGAGCATCACAAACTAAATTCCATTCATCCCCATTGTATTAGGGTGGAGGCACAAATCTCAAAACTTAAACTACAGTACCTGGTTGGATAGATACCACTGGGAGAAATGGGAATGTTTATTCTACAAAATCTGTTGAGTATTGAAAAAATGTCAGACTAAAATACTGTGTGTATACAATGAGTGCATTTCATTAAATGAATCTATGATGAACAAATGACACCTGAAATATACAGTGTGATCATGAATTATTATGTATAGTAGCTCGCACTTGCATGTCTTTGTCTGGTGTTGAAGGAAAAAGAAGAAGCTAAAATTTCAAGGATCTCCCATGAGACCACAGCACAGATCAGTCCAACAATACCTGTGTTTTACAGCACACACTGACAGTAATAACAATACATTAGAAACACATCTTCACACTTTCAAGATTCATTCTGGTTTCAGTTTAAAACATGTATCCCTTGGCTCGGTTAGACTGACATTACAACAACCGCCTCCATCCTCCCAGATAAAGCCTGACGGACTTCCTCGCTGGACATTAAAAGGAGGATTCCAGTCATGCGAAGACTAAACATTCTTTTATGAAAAAACAAATACTCCCCAGCCTCACCACAAATGTACTTTTCCTAAAGTGGCCCATCCTTTTCCTAACTCTAAATAATCTTCAGTTTTTATTGTCATTTATCGACTTCCAGTTTTTACAGCGGATTGTGCTGTAGCTCAGACAGGGAGAGGAGCTAAAGTAAAGACAAAAGGCAGCAGGGAGAAGGAGATAGAGAGAAAGAGAAAGAGAGTTTTTGGCATAAGGGGAATCCAGAAGGCAACAATTAGGCCAAATGTGGAGAAATTACGGCAAAGACAAAGGCACAAAACAGGATTACACTGTGCAGAAGAGATTGAGCAATTAATTATAGCCCACAAGAGGAAGCACAATGAAATGCCCCCCACCAACCACAGTGCTTACTGTGCAGCCCCTTCTCTCCTGCACACGCACACGCACACGCACACACACTCCTATCTCTCCTAAGCAGCTCAAGTAGCAGAGATGATCACCTCGTTTTGGACAAATTAAGATGCAGTTCATCTTCCAGCTTTACCCCAAACTGACTCTGCCCATCACTTCTTTAGAGTCAGTCTCATAAATATAATGTTTCCCAGCAAGTCGATCAGGACTCACAGTTGGGTTGATTAATAAGGTCTTGAAATTACTCCTGAGAAACATCTGATTGTTCAACATGATTAAGGATTTACCATGGTCAAACCATATTCAACAAACGTTGTTGTCCTCAAAAAAACAACTTCAGCATCAATGTTATGCACTTCTGTGCAAAGGTTTCACTCGTATGGTTTTCTCTAAGCAGACCAACGCAAGGATCACCCTGTTGGGTGCCAAGAAAAGACTTCATTCAATTGCCAGAAAGGTTTTCAAATCATCTTGGCAACTTGCACAACAAGAATCTGCAAACACAAAAATCTGTACTTGTTCTGATCAACCCTCCGATGCCAAATATAGACTATAACAGACACTAACAGCCATGATGGCAGCTGCTCATGAAGCTTGCAATACTGATCAGCTTCCCAAGCAGTGATAGCATAAAATATGTCATGATGTAAAATACCTTGACCGCTGAATCAGAAATCTTTTTTTTTTTTTTCCCCTCATAAATATTTTCTTATTTCCATCCATTGTCACCACAGATGCTGACGGAGACATTTGACAGTAGAAACTTCTTTAAAAACGCCCTCCTAGATTGTGACTGGAGGTTTCTTTTAAGAATTAGATCCTAATGCCGTCTATTACTGAACTATTCATCCCATGCTGAGCCGCAAAGAACTGTCTTTACAGCTCAGTATGAAGCATGCTGAGTCTAAGCTAAACATCCTAAAACTGAGACCTCTGAGCCTCATTAATACCAAAGCAGAGGAGCTGCCTTTAGGTTTGTCAGCAGAAATCTTTAAAAACTGAACCGTGAAATACAATTTAATAAAAGTAACATCGGATAGAACTCGCCAAGAAATGTTTCATGCATGTGGGTGTTTAAAACCAATCTGTTTTTTTTTTCTCCAATAGAACTTTCAATACATTTCATCACTTTTGTCTACGATGCATTAAAGAAACAGGATCATTTTCAAAATGCCAATAGTTGATAAAAGTGGACCATGTCACTCAACTGCCCCAAAGTAACCCCTCAGATTAGAAGTTGCTACATCATATGAGAGATTACAGGAGTGTAGACTAAACAGATAAGACCTCTAATCTCAGTAAACTGGAAATGTTATGTTTCTTAATCTTCTCAGCACACAAACTGACTTCCAAAACTGATGATCCAAATGATCCAGCATCCCATGAAAGAGATGCATTAAAAACAGACGTAATAAGAGTTTGGTGGGTGCTGCCAAAAAAAAAACAAAAAAAAAAATGCTTACCTTCCTCTAGCTCATCCATGGATCCGATCTTACGAGCGCCGTCAATAGTGAAGATGAAGCGGACACCCTGTGGCAAGTTGATGTGGTCAGACAGCGAGCGCGTGAGGTCAGCCAGCAGGGAGTCAAAGGTGCGAAATCGGTCGTTGGCCACAGCGTACACGATGCCCTTGAAGTAGCGGTCTCCGTTGCGGTAGAAGCGCACCTTTTTGGCTTTCTTCTCACTGGTGAGGGCCTGGAGAGTGCGCGTGCGGTAGAAGCTGCAGTGGGCGCTGTGGGTAGGGCTGGGGAGTCCATTCATGCGCCCACCCCGCGGGGTACGGGATGCCTTGTCTCGCTCGTCAAAATGTCCAAAGTCTAGCTCCATGATGACTGAAAGTTGTGATGGTTGTGACAAATGTGCGGTGGTGGTGACCAGCTCCGAAGAGTCTAGGAAAAGAGGGGAAAAAATGTATAGAATGTATCATCTAGTAAAATACTGAAATAATATAACTATAATACATCATTGTGATTTAATCTGTTGGCTCTTGTGCGCTTTTTCCTGTCCCTGATGACTTTAATTACTCACCACTATTATTATTAATCACTATGATGTTTCGTACAAACACAGTCATTATTTTCATTCCATTTCAAAAGCAGCAACTTCTATGATTTGGACTTGAAATCCATGTATATAAATCTGCCATGATGTTAGTGGTTTCATCAGCATACAGGTGGACAATGAATGAAACAATCATTTTTGTTACTGGAGGAGCAACTGGGTCTTAAAGTCAATGAATAGCGGACCCGCCCACTGTGGTGGTAAAGGTACATGGACAGAAAAAACTGACATGAATTAAAGGTGGGGATTATTTACAGTTATGGATGAAAGATGAAAGAGTCTCATATGTGGGAACTACATGAGGAACTTCTACTTTCTGCCAGGAGGTGAACGTTAATTAACTGGTTATTTCATTAGCAAAGATTTGATGACAAAGAAAATATTATTAAAAAAAAATTGTATGGCCATACTTTGTTAAACTGTTAAATAAGGTGGATTTATCGTTAGACAGGACACATCCATAAATGGCTTGGACCCACACTGCTGTGGAGCAAAATATACAATTCATGAATAAAAGTAGGATTAAAATCCAATGTCTCATTGGCTTTGGCTAAACTGCTGTGTGAGGCACGTAGCACATATGATATGCCTCAGTCACTTCTCCCATCTCCCGCCTACATACACCTGTGAACAGTTGTCTCACTTGCCCAGATGAATCACAAACTAACACATGGCCACTAATAAAGTTAAAATGATCCTTTGATAGAGCATCTGGTAACCTGCTGATTGTTGGTTTAATTATCCAAAATCAATTAAGCCCCAAAATCATAAAGAAGCCATGATCATCTTAAAAAGATCTCAGTGATTATGTACAAAATGATAAAGGGGATCTTTTTAAATGTATATGGATAATGTACCGATATGCATCTTTCACAAAGCAACACATCCATCCCTTACATGAGTAGGGGATGGATGATATAATCATATAATCAGAAAATTTTTATTTTAATATCAATTTGTTATATTGTATATTTACAAGTAAATTATAGAAGCAGATGGTTTAAGTTACACTTTGTTGTCTCATTGAGTGAAATTATGGGTTTTTAAGAACACAATCCTGAGTGTGGATATCAAAATCTATATCAACATTTGATGCAATACTAAGCTCTGTGTACAACATTACCTGTCAAAACATTGTGAATGTTATTACAGTGAAGAGTGTTGGAGTTATGGCTTTAGTACATGTACACTGTTCAGTAGAAATAATGGATTCTCAGAGTAGTGTTTAATATTTAAGTGGAGACAGTGTTACAGTGAGGGAGTTTACAGTGTTATCAGCGCATTTCTACTGAAATTTGTGTTTAACATTATGACTGAATTTAATTTTATCTTTCATCACTTAAGAGAAAAGGTTAACCCTGGTGGGGTTTTTTTTCCAGAATAGTGGCTTGAGATTTATGCAGATGATGCACCTGCTCAGCCATTAAACAATAAACCACTTATGCTATGAGATGGACTGGCATAAGGCTGGAGCAGCTTTCCCATCTAAATACCGGTCTTTTCCTGTTACCCTCCCACCTGATGACTACAACTCAGTCCTCAAAAACCACAAAAAACCATTGAACCAAACTGTTACACACCCATGAAAAAACACCCACACATACCCACATAAAAGAGGGAGTTATCTGTGCCCAGTTTAAAGCCCTGCTCCATTGACACAATCTCCTTATTCATGCAGTGTTCTTTAAAACAAGAGTGATCTCTACAAATTCACAAGCTGAATAAAGATGTCAGAATAACGCAAAGATGTCATGCATGTCAGTTGCTTCTCTTATATTAGCCTACAGGACTTGACTACATTGACTGGAAGGTCACAGCTCTTTGAACTCAATTCACCCTTAAGTGGCTTATTAACAACACACACTGTGTGTCTCTTACGATGCTTAAAAGACTTGTTTTAGACAAAATGAGTTTCATGTTTCAGGTCAGAAACGGTTTAGTCATCTTCTGTCACTGACAACGAATCTTTCAATTTTCTACCAAACTGTCAGTCAGTTATTATCATTTATCAACTTTGAGTGGAACTGTATCATGATGATGTCAACATACAAAATTGTGTTATTCTGAAACTGAGTTATGTCTGAAGGGTTTTGTCTGATGGATGCATGGGATTTGTTCAGTGTAAACTTGAATCTCTTCAGGTTTTGATCTGTTGCTCAGTCGAAACACGACATTTGAAGACGTCACCTTGCTCTCTGGAAAATTATAAGTAGCATATTTAATTTTTTTTCTCCGGCATTTTATTGACTTGTGAACTGATTGGGAAAATAATCATCAGATTAATCAGTAAGGAAAATAATTGTTGATTTGAACATCACACTGATATTACATTGTGATGTTGATTTCCAACATACCACTCAGTCCTACTTCCAATGAACATATGAAAAAGTCAATCAGTGCTTCTTTCACCATTTTGTTTCATGCATGCAAGCCAGTGAATGAAATATTGTCTATCAAGCCCATTTGCTAAATGAATTTCCTTCATCCTTCTTCATGGTTAAAAATCTTATATGTTACTTATGCATATACGGTACTATACAGATGACCACATTGACAAACACAAGCCATTTAAACAGAAGAAGCATGCTGCCGCCACCCATCCATGTGGTGGGGCCCTTCAATCCTCAGCTAACCCCTGGTTCTGCTGCTGCTGCTGCTGCTGCTGCTGCTGCTGCCATGACAGCCACACCGGCAGGGGTGGGACTCCTGCAGAAAGGGTGCTCCTCAGCTGACAAAGGCCAGGTTTCAAGCCCATCTGCTGCACTAATGGGCAGAGCTAACTGTGACCCTTCCCCAGTGGAGCATCAACTAGGACAGTCCATTGTCTCAAACAGGGTGCCTGCCTTCAGAGTGACATCACCATCACTGCTGCTGCTCCTGCTGCTGCTGCTTGTTGGAGGAGCAGCCGGCTTATTCTCCAGCATGAGTCCATAAAGTAATATCTTCTTAATGAAGATTTTTCTCATAGCCAGAACAACATCACAGATTTACAGTATTAAGATATATGACATGACACACCTTACATCATGATTATCTCTCTTTATGGTTGATTGATACACTGCTGAAAGAAAATCACTACCACAGCAGCATGCATGCATTCTCCCAAGCATTAGGCAGCACTGCAGTAACATTGTGTGGTATCACTGATATTATGGCTGGTTCTGTGTTCCTGACTGAGCCACCCACACAACACCCCGATGACTACACACTCCTGACAAACCAGCACCACATTATGACTCTCCAGTCTTCTTCATCAGAGCTGATCCACGTACAATATCTCTCTTATCTATCACACCACGACACGCAGAGCTAGTTAATCTTAGTTCAATCACAGTCACAAAGAGGAAAAAAAAAAAAGTTTCATGATACTACACTTCTCATTTATGGTGGATGAGTGAGGCCACATGGCAGAGCAGCGGCATAAAATGCAAGTTTTTCCTCAAGAAAAAAAAAAAAGGAGGGGGTGGAGGGGGAACTGGGGTGTGCGCACACCTTCTCACAATCCACCTGCTCAAACGCGCATCTGAAAACCTAAAAATCCTTCCCTCCACACAGAAAATACCCGCAATGTAACCTCTACTTGCCCACTCCGAGTCAAAACCATTACTATTTCATGATTTCCTGTGATCAGTAAAGTCTGTGTGTAATCCCAGCCGGTAGCGGACTCACCTGCGTCGCTGCTTGCGGAGTGAAGGGAGTGTGTGTGTGTGGGGAGTGGATGTGAGTGTGTGAGTCGATGCTGCAGGATAGAAGCACGCCGTCTCTCCCCTTCGCCTTTGTCTGTCTGCTTCAGTCTGAGAGCCGAGCCGCTGCCTGCCTCACTGGAGGAGCCACTGGGTCCTAAAGCCAAACGAGCGGCGGACCCGCCCACAGTGGAAACAGTGGAGGTACCGGTCAGTGTGGGCTGGGGTGGAGCCGGCCTCAGTCTCACCATAGGTACATGAATGATAAACGCTTGCATGAATTAAATGAGGATATTATTTACAAGTATGGATGAGAGATGAAAGATCCCTCTTTGAGATCTCATGATACAGTGGTAACTGCATGAGGCACTTCTACTTTCTGTCAGGAAGTGAAAGTACATCTCATTCCCTGGAATTCTCCAGGAATTCCTGATTTCAGGTCCTGATTTTATTTTCTCATCACCCTACAAGATTGTGGCTTCCTGTGTGTGTCCATGCAGTCAACTGAGTCAAAATCATCACGAGTGTGTCCCTTTGAGACAAACCACAGTTTGATGCTTTCGGTCTGTTGGAGCTCTTTGTTGGTAGTAGATTGAAGCTTGAATACCTCTGTGCTAGTGTTTGCCTTCCCTTTCTGCTTCACTTAACCGAGTGTTTCATTGTCAGGTACCCACATACATGTATACTCAGTCCACTTTCTTACTGTTGCATTTGGCAGAACATCACACTGCAGTCTGAAAATATTGCCTGTTGCAAGTTGTTGCACTCGGTCTAGTAATTTCCCATTTGCAGCCCTCAGGGGAACAAATGTCTGTGGTTGGTTTTGCATGAACTTATAAGGCAGTTTCAGTAGTAGATGCACCAAAGTGATGTCACCATATGAATAAGACTGTCATTTTAAAGGTCTTTGCAGGCAGGGACTGTCACACTGAGGAAACCAAAATACCTTAGTATAAAGCCAACATCAGTCACTGTTTCACAGTGATGTCATATTAAATTACAAGACAGGGATGTAAACTTTTCTCAACCTTGTGACTCTGTAGCCGATTTGAATAAAAAGGCTGTGTGCTAGTTATTGTAGTGTGGTATCAATTTCACTGAAAGCTCTGTCATGGCTGCTGCGGGCTCCATAGTCAGTGTCAAACATCGGGGAAAGGTGAGATGTAGGACTTCAGAGGTGTCACATGATACTCCCAACGGGCTAAAATGTGCCAAGGAAAACACAAACGTAACATCAGGCCAAGCATCACCAAACAAATGAACAAATTCCTTGAACAGAAATTACCTCTGGGCCTCAAAACTGGGCCACAGTACAGATGTATAAGGTTGAATAAAGTTCATCTTTAAAACTCTATAATACTTGAACAGGACTGGCTTAAGGGCAAATACAAGATGACAGTATGTGTTTTTTTTAAGAATTAGATCCATTTCACTTCACTGAACATGCACATGAACTAGAAATGTTTTTTTTGATATACTCTGCGATATAAAAAATAATTTTACAAGCCTACTCTGATATGAAATACTTATTTGCTCCTCAGAATCTCGAAATTCAAAATGACAGTTTCAGAGGACACAGATTTTCATGCCACTAAAGTTGAATTCTTTATTCCCTCTTCTGCTGATATTGGCTCTCAGATCCTGGGATATTTTCTTCATAAATCCCATCATATTTTGGATTCAGAATTAGAACCAAGCATCGCAAACATCCGTAACGCTCAGTGCATCTTGTGGATTGAAAATCAGTGTCAGAATCTGTTTAACACAAATCAAATCAGATCTTGCAGATTGAGAATTAGATTTAAAACCAAGTTTAGCAAGTTAGCATATTAAATCTGACATGACGAACTGGTCATAATATATATAACAAAAAAAAATTAAAAAGTAGGATAAAAATGAATTTAGAGTTAAGAAAAGAGATGATTTATACTTTCATTAATTAATTGCTCTACTTTGACACTGAAGACATCACTTAGCAGCTTTAAATGAGAAGACCAATGGGTAACAGGTCTCTGTTTTTAAAGAGCCAACAAAAGGAGTTGACTCTTCTCACAGCAGGCTGCACTCTCTTTGTCGTCTATTCCTCTCCCCTCAGGCAGAAAAGCTTCACTTTAAAACTCAGCTGTTGTCACATTCTGCAGCCTCTCCTTTGCATGTCAAGCATAACTCTAATTCACTCTGATCACTGGCTGCTCCACACCTCCCTCAGTGAGCTCCCCAAGGGCTGCTGTCCACTGTCTGTCTGACGGAGGGGAGGGGGAAGAAAGTGTCAGTGCAGGAGGTAGTTTATAAGGGTGGGGTGGGGGGGTCGGGAGAGGGCATATGGGACGAGGAGCAGATTTGGATACTTGGCTCTCAGTTGGGTGCTGTGTCACATAGTGTCTCATGCCAAAAGTGAACATGTACTCAGCGACTTTCCAAATCTGGTCACATACGGTGATTACTTCTTTGGCTATGAGATGGCCACTAAAATGCTTTGTTAGAATTGGAGGCATTTTTCTGTCTGTTGTCTTGGATATGATTTAAAGAAAGAAGGCCTCTTCATATCTGTTCACGTATTGTTCGGTCCCACTGACAGTTACACCAACCAAGAGTTTAGGAGGAAGTGTGTCACACTGAATACATTAGATATCATTTGCCTTATGGTCTACTCATGTTTCACCACTGTTTTGCCTATAAAATCGCTGGAAATGGATACTTCCCAATAACACACAAAACGTCATACAGTATACAAAAAACCCTATCACCCTATCTGCTAAAATGTGATTTAAAATACCTATAAGTACAACCAATCCCGGCCTACGCTTCAACTATGTGACGATCCACATATAGACACGTCTTCTGCCTTTCAAAGCTTTTGTACATCTGTAAATTAAGTACAATATAAAGAGAGTAAGGTTTTACTGCTGGTACTTTAAATAAGTATACCAGCGTCTTAAAGTCCCACTATGCTGAAATTATTCAACATGAGCAAACTGACACGACCTCAGCCCACTTCACGTACACGTTCTTTACCATCAAATAAAAAGCCCCAATAATAACGATGTGAAGAATGTGAACAATGTGAAGTTATTTCAATTCTGCCTCGCAAATGTGAGGATATTAGGTGGAGCAGCTTAGTCACCATTTTCCCTTTTCCTGTTACTGATGACTTGCTTTTAATGCCTGTTATTTCGACTGAATCTACTGAAGTAAAACTCACTTCACTGCACAGCCTGCAGCATAGGCGAAGGTCAGCCAGGGTTTCCGCGGCAACAGGCACATGATAAATAATGTACCATTTCTGTTTCTTCCTACACTGATATCAATTTAGAAACATGCAAAACATTATAAAATGTAAATCAACCCAACATGTAAACTACAAATTGTATGTTTTTAATATTCAAAGTAAGTAGGATACAAAACAGATACAATGGATGTGTTCAAATCTGCATTTGCCAGTCTCTCTGCCATTCAGTCATATGTACAATTTCCCATTCCTACTTTGTTGCATATAAATCTCAATGTACCCGGTCTCAGTGTGCGTATTTAGATGAGGTGTCTCTGGCAGCAGCAAACCAGTACACACAGCAAAGTGCAGTGACAGTTTCAGAAAGAGTGCTGTGCTGTCGATATGACAAGACTAGGTGGACTGCAGGATAAGCATAAGTGGTTCACAGCTGGTGTCTGGGGGAAACACGAGAGAGGGGTGGAGAAGGCCGGCCGGCGAGGGGAGGGGAGGGGTCTGGTGGCGGTAGCAGAGGGGGGGTTTGCAGCCATGACGACTGATGGAGGAGGAAGTAAACAGATGTCCACAAGCTGGCAGACAGGCCCAGAGTGGTCGAGCCACTGAGAGACAGGTGGACATCCAGGAACACAGTGGGACTGCAGAATGACTGTGAAGCCAAGCAGGGCTTTGTATATAGAACGCAAGCACTGGAGTCTCATAAATAAATCTGTCATTGTATAATTCAGTGAACTTAACATAAATGAGGCCCATTTTTGACATCTTTAGGATGTGTTAGTGGGATTGTGGTGATCACTGTGGCATCAAATAAAGGCTTTTGTTCATTGTTTTATCAACACATTAATCAAGCTCGTAAAATGAAAAGTGAATGTGACTCCATCTGGTGTTGTCCACCACAGCAAAACTATTGAGTCTCAAATAAAATTTTTCAGACAACTGATGATGACTCCCAAAACCTAAGAGGCCAAACAAAGAATTTGACTCTTCTTCATTACCCTAATTGCTGTCTCTTCCAATTTTTTTAAGTTGAAATGATGAAATAATGAGACACTGGGGATGCAGTGAAAAAGCCTTCATCACAGCAGTCGAGATTTATCCACCACTGTAGTTCTCCAAACCCACTTCAGCATTTTTTAGAGTCACTGCAGCAGCAGTAGTCTCTGGGAATAGACTTGAAACTGGAAAGCCATCAGTTTAAATCCCCTGGCAAGCTGGTAAATCTGAGTGCAGGAAGTGAAGGAGACATGCTGTCGCCTCCCTCAACACTAACTGTCAACATGACCTTGAGCAAGGCACTTCAAACCCGGCTGCTCTGATGCACTTTTAAGATGGAACTGACTTGGAGGACACGATGAAATACCCACTGAAGGGAAAAAAATGACAACATTTGAACAGGTGGAGGGTTCAAGGTGACTTGGAGCACGCCCCATGTTGCTCTGATGGCTGTGATGTTCAGGAGACAGCAGCATCAATGTGATGCCACAATGATGGAGGGAGGGACAGTGATGAGCAAAACAAGCGACACAGTCCAGAGAGGATGAATAGCTCAGTGTGTCTGTTGGCGCGCCTCTTAATGGGCCACTAGAGGGGGAGACAGGCGAAACATGAGTGTGTGAGTCAATGAATGAATGGATTAGCTTGTTAGTTTATAAATGAATTGATTAAAATATGGGCAACTTCTATGTCAAAAAATAAACAGATCACAGTAACAAGTGCTTTCACTCAATACTTAAAAAAAATGATGGGTCAGTCGCACTTACATCCCAAGAGCAATGTCACTAAAATGAATTGTTTTACTTTCGGTCTGGTTCTCACTTTGGTCCAAAGTGAAATATCTAAATAATTACAGGATGGAAAACAAAATTGATGTTGATGAATCCTAATGACTTTG